GAGGAGATAGTTTTGCCTTTTCTAGCAGGAGCTATCCAGGCAACTTCCCTGAAGCAGGTACTGCCATGTGACATAGGATTTTCATACATAACCCTAAAGCCACAAAGAGATAGAAATATGTATATTATAGCATTGTCAAAAATAAGGCGGTTTCCTTCTTGCTTTCTAGTTTCAATGCTGTTTCAGTTCTCTGTGTGTAAGTATGTGTATATGAGGAGAAGACTGATGTATTGCATAATGTAACAGTAAAATATTTTTAGATAGGTACTATAGAGTGATAAATAAAAGCGAGAGAAATCAGATTTACAACAAACTTGACAAAAGAAGAAGGAACATTTTTTTTATCATTTATGTTGGGTTGGGCTAAAACCCTCTGCCTGCCATTGCAATTATTGATTGAGTAAAACTTATGATAACCTTTGTTTGGCCTCTGTAGAAAATTTTGATTAAACACATCCCTGAAAAAAAATCGAATAAAAGAAAACAGTATAGAAAAGTAAAGCCTATGGTAATTGAACTATCAAAAAAATTGTAGGTTTGTAATATTCAGACAGAAGATTCAGATGTTGAGTAGATATTTTTCTAATTTCTAATTATAACGACAACAACCAAATGATGGTGAGATGATGATGACTATATTGCTAAGTTTAAAAAAGAAAGAAGCTAAAGTAATTTTAGCTTGGGAAATTGTGGAATGACTACTTCCCAAATCAGTGGCAGGAAATTGCTTGAACCAATCAAGAAAAAACAGTTTTAATTTTCACCAAGAGATTTTTATTTATAGTATAAAAGCCACCATGTCAAGGTACCATCTTCAGCTTGGTGCCTTGCTGGAGTCCTGTCATCAAAGGACTAAGGGGGAGGGATGGGGGGGGACAAATGAGCAATAAACCTGTATACATTTTCTGTGGGAATTCAGGAGAGGGAAATGACAGCTAAAGAAAAGCAGATCAAAGTGGAACTGGTTTGTGTCAGGCATCTTCAAGGTCGTTTGCCCTGAGTGTGGAAAGTTACCAGCACAAACACCTCAGTGTTCCCAAAACATCCTGGCGGCCTCACATTGACTGGGGTTGGACTGGTCATGAATGAAGGAAATAGTTTTGCATTGATGTGTGGGAAACTCAGACTCCGCCTGACTTTACTGCAATCATCATCTCTTAGTAAAAGTACTTTTCACTTCAACCAAATGGAGTTGAGAGTTTTTCTTCCCTAAATGATCGGACTGGGGCAGGTCTGACACATCATCTTCTATACACATTATCATACATTATAATAAAAAAACAACAACAGATAAAACTTTATATGTTAGCTTGTAGATTTTCCAAGATGGCTCACAAGAGACAATAATACTTTTAGGTTTTACATATTTTTATTATTTTTTTAGTTCTGTTATACTTCTTTTATTCCTTCTTATTGTTTTTCCAAAAACATTGCTGGCTTGTGCTGTTTTTAATTTTATTTTCAAACTATATTTTATGGCTTTTTTTTTTTACTTGTAAACCATCCAGTGAACATTTGTTATTGTATGGTAGAATACAACTAATTAATAACACTAATTTCAGTTAATCGTATCTATATAAGGCAATACAAATGTGAAGAGTATCTATTGAGTAGCTCATAAAAAACAATTTCATTCTCTCTTCCAACTTTGTGACACAATTGAATTTGGGATAGGCCTGTGTAGCAGCTTAAAGGAAATACAAAATAATACTTAGCAATAGCACTTAGACTTATATACCACCCCATAACATTCTCTGAGCAGTTTACAAATGTCATCATATTACCCCCAATAATCTGGGTCCTCATTTTACCAATCCTGGAAGGATGAAAGGCTGAGTCAACTTTGAGCTGGTCAGAATTGAACTCCTGGCTGTGGGCAGAGTTAGCTTGCAATACTGCACTTTAACCACTCCGCCACTATGGCTCCTAATCAGTTTTCTACAATGTTTCAGTTAGAAATAAAATGAATTTAAAGGTTAAATCTTAAAAATATTTATATATTTTTATATTTATATATGGTGTCTAATTATTGCTTTTGCAAATTTTAATATCAGCTATTTAATCAGAGCTAAGACAAATTAATAATGATCCACTGTGCACTTCCCCCCCAATTCTTTCATAGTAACCTTTCACCTTTCATTGGTGTCCCTTTAACCCTCCATATATAAGCCACCATGTGATTAAAAATAAGTAGGGCTGTGTTTCTAATGGTTTATTCTAAAGAAAGCACGAGGTTTCCTTGCAATGCTATGTTGATATATTTAGGAGAAAGTAGTTTAGCTAGCATGGTCTAATGCTTAAGGCACAAGGCTAGTAACCAGGAGGCTGCAAGTTCAAGTCTTGCCTTAGCTATGAAAACCAGTTGGGTGACTTTTGGCCAGTCACTCTCTGTCAACCCAAGCCAAGTCACAGAATTGTTATTGTGGAGAAAATAGGAGGAGAAAGGTGTGTTGGGTATGCTTTATTTGTAAAAACAGTAAAGACAGGATACAAATAAATAAATAAATCATGCAGACCACAATTTATTATCAATGTATAAGAAACCAAGGGGACATCATATATCCTTGTCTTATTCTCTGCTATTGAATCTTTTGCTATGCGTTTCATGCATTCTGAGATATGCTTACTTTAATATTATATCATTTTTGTAGCATTCAGTAACCATACTTTGCCCCCACATTAATGGAAAACATTCTATCATTCCAGACAATTCATTTCATCAAATGATTTCTTTAAGTTTGCAAATGTAGTATTAAACTTTGTCATATTCAATGATCTGCTGAAAAACAAAAATCTACTGCCCAGAATAAAGTTGCATTATAGATCTTAAAAGTTGCCCATTATCACTTCTCACAATGTTTCAGTTGGAATACTGCCAAACACCTTCCTAGATATATGCAATGAACTAATGCTCTATAAGTTTAAGTGAATGTAAACTTATTTTAAGTGAATAATCAGCAACATCCATAGAAAGCTACTGCTTTGATCAGAATGATAAAAGCAGTATTGCAATATAGTGCTGCAAATTCTGTCCCTTTGTGGGTGGGGTGTAGTGTCAGTCTGGTCTGGGCAACAGCCTGACTCCTATAGCATCTCACCCACAGACACCATTGCGAATAAAGATTCTTCCAATTGCCATCACAATTGCAGTCTTCACACACGCATTAAGCAGGTCCCATGGCCATTCTACTGTACTGAATTGACAAACATATTCATAATGTAATGGCAGGGCTGAACCCATAGAATGAAAAATTGGAGGAGCCAATTTCTCTACCACAAGTCCTCTGGGTAGACACACCTTGGTTTTGTCTCCTTGATTTTCAAAATATTAGGCCATATAGGGGCATATTAGTTCTCACTGCCACCATCTATCTTTCAAGGAATGAAAAGGATGCAAACAAAGCACAGTATTATTCCAAATGGCATTGTCCTATGCAAGCAGAATATCTAATCTAAAGATTACCGCTGCCAGCCAATATGCTGTTGTATGCATCCCAGCAATTAGGAATAGTAGCGATGTACTGAGATATTCAGGATACAAGATGCAGATAGAAATAGACAGACAGATGCAACCTGCTGGGGAGGTGGAAAGAGAGACTTTGTCCCTGTATTGCTTACAGTCTAATTAATATTAAACAATTTGGTTTCTTTGGGGAAAAAAGGTTGAATCATACAGGCTTTTGTTATGGTTTAATAGGTTTAATTGTTCTGTCAGAAGATGAACTAAAACTATAGAAAAATAGATATCAGAAAGTCCTAGTATCTATAGTTTGATCCAATCGAAAGAAAAACAGCAATGAATCCATACTGGTTTTAAAGAAAAAAGAATCATTTTATAATTAATACAAGAAGAAAGGGTAGACTTCGTAAAGGTGAACCTGTTATTTTTAATTTGGAAGTTAAGAATCAGTATAATACAAACCCCACGACGGTAAAATCGGTTAATCTTATTCTTGTCTTATCTCGACTTTTAATCATTCTAATAAATAAAAGTGAATTTACCTCTCTTTATTGTTTTTTTTGCAAGCTGGGCTAATCAAGTAGTTTGCCATAGATGTAATTCTTTGATTACAGTTCTGTGGGAGTATATCCTGTTAGAGTCAATGACTGTGTTTGCACTGTATGTGAATCCACGGTTAATTGTAGCCTACTGTAAATAGCTCAATTGGAATTCTAAGCTTCTAAACATTAAAGTCATATTTAGTTCTCCAAGACAATGTTGTATGTGATCCCTTGCATTTTGGAGTTAAGAACGAGGCTCATTCTGGCGTGGTGGGAGATGGTGTAAAAAAATGTTCAGCTTGATTTCGACAGGGTTATTTCAGCGCCAGTATCAGTGTGCGAGCTTGGAAAATCACGAGGAGAGCGGAATGGTTTCCTTTAGAGTGCCGTATTTTTAGAATCCGTTTTCAAAGGACCCAGAAGAGCTGCTAAAGCCAGTGTTTCTCAACCTTGACAATTTTAAGGCATGTGGACTTCAACTCCCAGAATTCCACAGCCAGCATTGCTGGCTGTGGAATTCTGGGAGTTGAAGTCCACATGCCTTAAAATTGTCAAGGTTGAGAAACACTGTACTAAACGTTAAGTCCAGTCTGTGTCCAGTCAAGTCCATGCCTGGAAAGATGCATTTGGCACGTGGCTAAGAGTCACTTGGGGGAAACTCTGGAATTGACAGGCGATGAGAAGCTGAGGCGAGACACTCTCGCCTTGCAGAAGGGGAGAGAGGAAGACGAGGCGACCCTCGCTGTCAGGACTGAGAGCGCCGCCGCCACCACCCGCTCTCTCGCCCGCCCACCCACCTTCACCCTCCTCGCTCCTGGGATCAGACTCAAACGCGCTCCGACGACGACAGCTCCGCCTCTCTGTCAGACGGCGCGAAGCCCCACCTCCGCCAGGCCACAGCCGAAGAAAGAAGGGCGGACAGCGCGCCTCCTCCTTCGCGGCTCCGGCCGCCCCTCTTTCCCCGGTCTCCCCGCCCTACTCCTGGCGGCGCCTTTCCCTGCTGTCAAGGAGCGGCGGAACGAGTTGGGCCGGAGCGAGTGGGAGGGCGGGGGAAGCCCGTGATTTGGAGATGGTTCTGGGGAGGCCGCGGTGAGCCTGGAGTCGTCGCTCCCTGGAGGGACGTGACCTCTGCCGCGATGCTGAGGAGGATTTTACAGAGGGTAAGGGGGCGGTGGGGAGGCGCTGGCGACGCTTCGGGCTCCCTGTTGCAGCGCCCGGGTTGGCTGCCTGGGGCGGTGCGGCGTCGCTGCACTTCCTGCAGCCGGCCCAGCACCCGAGCGGGCGCTTTGATGCCCAGCTGCCTGCCTGATTTCCCCCAGGCCTCTGAGGCTGGCCGCTCCCTCTCTTCCCAGTGAGCAGCAGCGCTGGTCTTCCGATTACCCTGTTTTCTGGCCCTGGGTGCCTTCTCTGTTAGGCCTTTTTTCCCCCCTGGCTCTTGGTGGCCGAGGGTGGGAGAGAAGCCTGGAGAGCAAAGAGTCTCTCGGGGACGGGAAGGCGAGACTGGTGTGGAAGGAGAGGCGGGGAGTTGCGGGTGGAGGGCGGGCGACATTAGGCTTCTCATGGGATTGTCCAGAAGCTGGGGCTAGAGAGGCGGGCGGGCGGGCGGGAGAAGTTGTGGGACTCCATCTTGGATAGGGGAAAACGGGGAGAGTGAAATGAAGATGGGAACGGACTTTTTCGTCTGTGGAGGATGCGGACTTCGAGGGAGCCTCTGGGCTCGGCGCTGTGAATGTTGCTGTAAGGCCTGGCAACGTTAACAGCGGTTGGGCTGTTTCTGTTGAGGGTGTTGGCTGTTCCTGCATTTCTAGAGTCACTTGTTTGATGAGACTGGTGGCTATATACGGTAAATTAGACAGACAGACAGACATTCAACACAGCAGATTAGGCACTGTTGGACATTTGGTTCACATAACCTCTGGTATTGTACGTATTTCCTGAGATGGTCCTGTTCAGATATACATTAACATTGATGGCAAAATAGAAGCACATGTAATTTTAACCATATGATATATGATATGATATCATCAAGAGAGTAAAAGAATTGAAATGGGATGGGCTGGTCACATAGCAAGAAGAACTGATGGCAGGTGGACCAAGGCAATCATAGAATGGATCCCACTTGATAAAAAGCGTCCATAAAAGAGGCCTAAAACAAAATGGATTGATGACATCAACAAGTATTGCGGTCCAATTGGAAAAAAAAAAGCTCAGGACCATATTGGTTGGAAACATGAAGAAGAGGCCTTCATCCTGCAGTGGCTAGCCCAGTGTTTCTCAACCTTGACAATTTTAAGGCATGTGGACTTCAACTCCCAGAATTCCACAGCCAGCATTGCTGGCTGTGGAATTCTGGGAGTTGAAGTCCACATGCCTTAAAATTGTCAAGGTTGAGAAACACTGGGCTAGACAATGGCTAAAATGATGGTGAGGAGCATCTAGCATATCAGCTATTCTCCAGGATTTCTCAAATATAATACATAAAAGTTCAAACCATCAACAAATTCAATTGGGCCTGGAGATGTAAATCTTTTAAAACTAAATATGTATTCCTTGACATATTTCTATGACTCAAGCTTCAATACTGTTCTTTCATCCTTTTCTTCATATTTACATGGTGGAATATATTCTTGTTGAAGGAGGTTTGGTCACATCTTCATAGGACTCTTTATATAGCCATATTAGCCATTTCTGCTGTCCTCCATTTTCTCATTAGACTTATTTATAATTGTACTTTTAGTTTTTCCTTTTAAAATCCAGCTATTTAGGGTTTCTTTTTCCATTATTTCTTCTGCCATGGAATCTTTGTAGTTATTTTTTTGTTATTCATTAAACCTTTCTTGAAGACTCACGTTTTACTTTAAAGACATTCCTCTACTTACAGACAGGTTACATTCTGAAAGGCTATTCAGAAGTCCAGTTTGTTTATAAGACCAAACAAGCATAAAAATAAGAGTAGTAGAGTTCTTACATAAGTGTCAGTGAGCGGTATGTGTGCAGATCAGTGAATAGTATGTGAACAGGAGGCACGGGAAAGTCCCATAAATATATGGTGCACTGTAAACCTATCCTTTCGTACCTTCTCCTGACTTCTGGGGCCTAGTTGGGAGTTGTGGATAAGTTTATTTATATTGATGAAAGTTCATACAATAATTTGAAAGTTTGTAAGTAGAGTTGTGTCTGTAGTCAGCGTTACTTTCTGTTAATTGATTGTTAAAATATAGACAATATTGTATCTGACAATGTATCATAAATCTAGAGGATAGGTGGAAGATCTGAATGTTGAAAAGCATTTATTTTAAACAAGTTCAGTTTTCAGCATATGTATTTAAATGCAACTTGGAGTATTTAGATAAGCAAGTAGTCAAAGAAAAAGTTGTTGTCTTAAACCTAAGATTCACACTGTATGCGAAGAGACACAGTTATTGGTAGTGGATATTTTTGTTGTATGCCTTCTTTAATTGAAAATTTGCAACTCTGCATCAAGAAAGTTGTTTTATTTGGCTTCTTCTATAATAATTAATTGTCAGTACAATGCTACTTCCTATACTTGTGAATAATCCTAATCATAGAAGTATCCATGGGAGTAAATTTACTGCTGCCAGTAGTCCCCAGAGCAAGGCAGCTTGACAGAGATAATATATTTTCTCTTTTTTTCAGACTCCAGGCAGAGTTGGATCTCAGAGCTCTGATTCTGATTCATCCGCAGTCCCTGGAAATGCAGTGGATATCAACAATGAGAGTAGTTCAGAGGTACTATATTGCAAGAATGTATGAATTTATTCTTTCAGGATGTAACTCAAGTGGTTTTGTAATCTTATAATATTGCATAAATATTGATTTTTATGGCATTTAATCCTGCACTTGACATATTTACGTTGTAATTAGTTTTTGGCAGATTAAGCCTGAGAATTAGAAGTAGAAGGAATCAAAATGAAATACCTTTTTACATAAGAGATGTCAGAAAATTTTGTATATTTTAAGCATCAAATGTATCTGTCTTCTGGTCTGAAGCTATGTCCGATGGTATATTTGTGTTTGCCTGCATAGACATTTCACTAGTAGAGTAACTAAGAAATTTTAAAAAATGTATTCAAAACATTAGGAAACATTCATATTATTTTAAATGGTGGTACTCATTATAAAATATATCTACTGTATTTAGTTTACTTATCATTTTAAGTTAATACCTAAAACAACTGTTTCAGAAGGCTTGTTTTGTCCAATGTGTATAAAATGGGTATTATAGCATTGATAATGTCTGAATAGTATTAGAATGAAAACATTGGGATAGGGGAAAAAAAAGAAGACAGATGCTTTATGAATTGTCTTGTAGTGCTGTGGCATTTATTTGGTTCTGGGATGCTGTTCCTTTCTGGATGCTTGTGTCAGGCATGAACAATCAGACCCACACATGTACAGTTCAAGATAGTTACTTTATTTTCTGTAACAATTTGATAGGAATCTGCCCATTTTGGCAGGTTGGCCTGGGAAAGACTAGATAAAGGCTCAAAGACATTTGGGAGATCAGACCTTGCTGATCTCTTGTGTATCCGTGTATTGATGCTAATTCCCCATTTGAGACCTCCTGACTGGGTCTGTGGTCTCCAGTAGCTTGATTTTAAGTTTAACTTTTCTGAAAAGTATCTATAATAGGAACACATAAGGTGACACTTTCTCTGTCATAGAAAGTGAAAGCTAAATTGTGTATAGATTATTAGCATCTTGTATTATTTCTTGTTCATTGCTATATTATGTGGAATAGGTGTAGCTTTAAAACTTGGCCTTTAAAAATAGAACATAATTTATTATTATTTTTTCTTATTTTGTTTATATAAAACTCAGCTTGATGTAATAGTTTTCTTCTGACTTTCTTGCACTTACATTTTTATATATCTGTAGAATGAGCAATAGTTTGTGTAATTTATAAAAAATATTTCTTTTTTGCAAATAGCATTTCAAATTTGTGTGATATTGTTTGAAACAGTACATTTTAAGAATTAAAAACAGCTGGAATAGTTACAAAATTCCACTATATGTAATACTATGTATAGTATATTTATATATTAGGTTAGTATATATAATCAAGCTTTGCTTGAGATGTTTTGGTTGAGAGTTGAGATATTGCTAATTGACAAAAAAGTTACATTTGGAAACATTTCCTTTAAGCATTAAAGTGAAGTATAATTAATGAACATAAATGCTATAGTTTATATTGCTTGCCTTTATATATTGAGAGTTTTACATTTTTTTGAATTCTATTGAAGTTACAAATCTCCAAAATTAAATAATATGAAATAAACTTTAGTGAATGGAAAGGAACTTAATTCTGTATTATTTTTAATCATGCTACAAAAACCAAAACCCTCTCTCTGTATTTGAGCCAATTATCTCTCTTGAAGATTGGTTTATTTGTCCATCTTTCTATTCATGAAAATACATTGATGGGGAGACCAATTAAACAGATTTTCATATTTCAAATTTAATTATGATTTAGCTTATAAGGTTATTTATTCATGTGCCAGATTGAGTTGCAATCTTTATCGGAAATAAAATGTACATCCTTTCTCTTAAAAGATTAGTTCATTGCTTAATGTGATGAAATACTGAACTTAAATATTTTAAGTACTTCACACATTACTAACATTTATGTAATACTGTTTATCATTTACCTTGGTTTGGTTCATGGAGGCTCTTCAAAAAAATATAAGCAGATTGTTTGGAAAAAATGTAGCTTGATTTTACTACTGTGCAAGGTAGAACTATTTAAAGTCATACCTGATGCTCTTTATTATATGATAAAAGATCCGGTATTTAGCAATAAATACCTTATTTGATTACTTCTGTCTCATTTTTTTTAATAAGCAGAGACTATTAGAGTTGCTATATTAATCATTCATTACTTTACTATGGAGTGTAAAGTTTGATACTGTTTAGCTCATTATTTCCTATAAGAGTATATAGGATTACAACCTTGATTGTGATTTTCAGTTGTCAAAGAGTGTAAAGCAGGGGTGTCAAACTGCTGGCCTGTGGGCCGGTTGCATCATGCGGAGGCCATGCCCACTCCAGCTCCAGCAATGCAAAAAAAGTCACGATATGTCGTGACACATCATGTGACGCGGCAAGTTTGACACCCATGGTGTAAAGCATTACTTCTATGATCTGGCTTAACCTCCAAGGCGAGAATAACTCAATTTTTGTGTCATTCTGCAATCTTTAAAGCAGGGATCCTCAACCCCCTGGCCACGGCCCAAACTGGGCTGCGCAAGCCTACCACTCATACAAAACCATCCCCTTTCCCTCCCCCGCTGGCCCGCCAAGCTGGAAAGGTTGGGGACCACTGTTGTAAAGGCTTTTTTGGGTGATCCTTTCACAATTTCTTTGTCAATGATGTAAGGCTGAGATATTTATTATTAATAATAATATTTTATTATATACACAAAAATGTGAAACCATAATAGCCAGTTATTTAGCTGGTGTTCGTCTTTGTATACATCGAGTTATTCCCAAGAACTTAGGATAATATAATGAATGAGCATAGTTTATGTGCTGATCTAATCAGCACAGCCATTTGTTAATGACAGATAGAAATTTTGCCATGCACAGTTTCTAAGTGCTGTACAAGATTTTTGGTATGACATCCAGTATGCCAATAACCACTGGGAGCCATTACAGCTGGTTTTTATTTTCAAATCTTGATACCTTGTGATTTTTCTCAATTTTTTCCCCTGCTAATCTATTATCTCCTAGTATTGCTACATCAATTATCCACATTTTCGTTTTCAACCATAGTTAAATATGGTGTGCTTTGTATCAAGACTATATTAATTTTATTATTACTTTTATTTTGTTTTATACAAAACAAAGAGAGCTGTTTGTACTGAAAACAGCCTAGAGTCATACTGGTTTGAAACAATGCATAGATTTAGGTACATCTTTTTAGTACATCACAGATACTCATTCATTCATTCATACCATTTACTATTTATTTCTTTAACATTCTTTTACATAAGTTGCAATCCTTTGCATGCCAAGTAATACCAGTAATAGATCTTGACATCTGCTATCCATGCATAGCTTTGGGTAAGACTTTCATATAATGGTTATTAATAAGATAAACATGTGTATGCTAGGTTAATAGCCATTATTGTACATGCTTTACCTATAAGCATCCTCTGATAATGATAAGGACAGTATCGATCAGTTTGACACATTTTAGCTAGTATGCCATAGATGCAACAATAGCTCATTTTTATTCCATGTTAGGATCTGTAATCAAAATGTTATGTTATAAGCTTATTTAAAGGTAGTCCTCAACTTACAACCACAATTGAGCCCAAAATTTTTGTTGCTAAGTGAAACATTTGTTAAGTGAGTTTTGCCCCATTTTATGACTTTTCTTGCCAGAGTTGTTAAGTGAATTACTACAGTTGTTAACTTAATAACACGGTCGTTAAATGAATCTGGATTCCTCAGTAACTTTTCTTGTCAGCAAAACGGGATCAGTTGACATTGGGTCACTGCCACCATCATAAATATGAGTCAGTTGTCAAGTGTATGAATTTTGATCATTTGACCGTGGGGATGCTACAATGGTTGTAAGTATGAAAAACGGTTTTAAGTCACTTTTTTCAGTGCCATTATAGCTTTGAATGGTCACTAAATGAACTGTTGTAATTCGAGGACTACTGCTACTATTGTTTGCATATCATCAAATAACATACACACACACACATAAACATACACACATATACCTACACATATATAAATATATTTTGACATAATACTACAGTATGTAAATATTCCAAAATTTGAAGTATTTAACTGTGACATATTTGCCATTGAGTTGAATGGTACTTCAATGAGTTGAATGAGTTGATGTACACTGTCCACTCACTTCCACTTGTTTAATATTATGTCCAGCGATTAATATTTTATTTATTCTGTCTCCAAGCTAGAGTTGTACATGAAATTCAAAATCTAAATCTAAATTATAATTCTGGTTTAAGAGAGCTGTTTTGTACGTAATATTAACTAAATGATCAGGCCATGTATACCAGAAAGTTTGTCCATTAGAATTCTTTATTATTGTACATGCAGATCAAGCCATGTTGTTAGCAACTTTGATGAGTAGTTCAAACCCAATACTGGCATTTGTTCTTGCAATTAATTACATTTCAAAATGAAATAGTATTTAAGACTTCTCTAAAGAAAATTTAATCACAATTCCTTCTATAATATGGTAGTATTCATTTTCATACACTAAATTAAATTGTTATGATGTTTTCTAATTACCTGTTAATATATAAAAGAGCCAACAGTTAAATATTAATATTGTTACATGGTTATTTTTTTGCGCTTTAGGGATTTATTTGTCCTCTTTGTATGAAATCTCATGGATCAGCTGAAGAACTTTTTAAACACTATGAAGCAGTTCATGATTCTGGTATTGATGCAAGTCATGCAGGAGAATCTAACATGAGTCCCAAAAGGTGCTTATAAATACTGGTTTATTTCTTTTTATTATATATTGAATAATAATTTATTGTAACTTCATTTTAATCACTAGTTAATCTAAATATTGGATGGAATATATTACCTTGTAATAGAAAAATACATTCAATGAAAAGAAGCTTGCTAATACTAAAAGCATTTACCTTTAAACTATATAGTAAATTGAATAGCATCTTGGTTTCGATTTACCTTAGATTTGTCTTATGAAGATAGTTAAGCCCTTTTTGTTTGCTAGGCCTCAGAATTATGTTTTAATTTATAAAAATGAAAAAGGATTAAATGTTTTGATGCCACCAAAATATTAATTTCATTAAATTAATTGAATTTAAATTAAAAGTATAGGAATATAAAAGAATGAATCCATACATCTAAGGCCAAGTCTTATTTAATTAGGAAGTAAGTTTCATTAGAGTTATAGTGATTTATCTCTCAGGGAACATGCTTAAGACTGTGCTACATACCTATGTCTCAATTGTTTAATGTTTGTTTGCTGATTAATATGAGGACAATTTATTTTATTTTATTTTTTAAAATTAATAAAATATGTTTAAATATATTATTTTACAGAAATAAATTGAATTTAATTGCAGTGATTTTTAAAATATTTAAGTATATATATTTCCTTTTTTTTAATATGGATTGTATTCAGTGATGACATAACTTTACTGAGGCAAGAAGTTCAAGACCTGCAAACTTCACTTAAGGTTGGAAGAGTGCATTATTTATGTATTCAGCTTTTTATTTCAATTTACAAAGTACACCGTAGTGTTATCAAAATCCCAAGTTCATATCATTCTTTTAACTGTCTTTCTACAGGAAGAACGATGGTACTCTGAAGAGCTGAAGAAAGAATTAGAAAAAATTCATGGGCAGAGGCAGCAAGTAATTATTTTAAAATGTTTGAAGCAAGCTTTCCACAAGCAGTTTTTTTTAATCAAACTTGAAATGAAGATCATTACCTATTTTGTAAGGCACGTGGCCTGAATTAGTTTTAATTGTGCTAATCTTCTTTGTAAGGGGGTGTGATGGCTCAGTGGTTGAAGACACTGAGCTTGTCAACTGGAAAGCTGACAGCTCAGGTTTGAGACCTGAATGCTGTGTGATGGGTTGAGCTCCCATTACTTGCCCCAGCTCCTGCCCTCCTAGCAGTTCGAAAGCATGCAAATGTGAGTAGATAAATGGGTACCACTTCGGTGGGAAGCATTCTGTGCGCCTTGGCTTATAGTCATGTAGGCCACGTGACCACAGAAATGCCTTTGGACAACTCTGGCTCCCTTGGCTAAGAAACAGAGATGAGCACCGCCCACTAGAGTCAGACACGTCTGGACAGGGGAAACTTTTACCTTTACCTTTAATCTTCTTTGTATTAATTGCTAATACAGTGAATGGATGATTTTTAAAAAAAAAAAAACTTTAAAAACAGATTTGTTAATGTAAACTGCCATTGGGATGTCATAATGAAAATTTTGTTGGTGGGAAAAACACTAGATAAAGCAATTTGCAATACATAAGTGTGATTTATTGCACATGTTTTCATTGATTTTAATGGATTCAGTCTGCAACAGCATTATGAATTATAGATTCCAACACATGATGGGTCCTTATAGTAATGTTAGTTAATAGAGGATCTAACACTCTTGGTGATGTGCTCAAGTACAGGAATTCTCAATCATAAAGCTTGATTTAAGATCTTTATATTTTTATTTTCTACTGTAATTGTGCAAATGGTTACAAACTTGTAACACAAAGTGAAGACTCATAACCTTCCTTCCTTCCTTCCTTCCTTCCTTCCTTCCTTCCTTCCTTCCTTCCTTCCTTCCTTCCTTCCTTCCTTCCTTCCTTCCTTCCTTCCTTCCTTCCTTCCTTCTCAGGAATCCAAACCTGATGGTCTGGCAACTGCTGCCTCTACAGGTGACAAACTTTTAAAAAATAGTCTCATGAAGTTATGAAACATAGTTGTCCAGAAAAATGATTTCCTTATCTATATCTCTCATTAAAGAAGTGTTTATCCATAAAATAATTTATTGATTGATTGTAAATACTTCAATTTAAAATGCAGTCTTTAAATAATTTAAAATGTTGAAGATTCTTTTTTCATGCAGTAATTCCTGTAATAATTCTATGTTTTATAAGAAGAATTTTTGTATTGAACAAATTTGATCTTAAAGCTTATCTGTTGTAGAAGTTACTTCTGTTGTAATTGATGTTGTTAAAATAAGAATTTCAGTGACCTTTTTACTGAGTACTAGAGTCGCATATGCTATTTTTATCAGATCAAATAATTGTAAAGCAATTGGTGCATCATAATTAATGTATAGTTGTTTTTCTTAGTGTTTGGTTGCGGAGTCCAGTTGTTTTTGTGCTGTGCTTGCTACTTCATACAGCAAAGCTATCCATGCATGATGTGACAGGGCTTTTCTTTCTCTTTCTCAGCTGGCTTGCTGCAGAGCCTGATACTGACTATGGCTGAGAAAGAATGATTGACCCATGCTTTGGTCATCCCTTTAAAGCCCTACAGAAAGATATATCAGCTAATATCTTGCCAGATTGCCTGATCTAGAGAAGGCTTATTGAGAGTCCCCCACCCATGAGAGACTTGAGGTGTGGATGAGACGCTAGGTCTTCTATATAGTCCCCATTTTATGGAATAATTCCCCCCTTGGAAGTACCACATGTGCAATCTTCCTTTTGCTGTCATTCTGGAAATTAGTTAAATCTATATTATTTCAGCGAAGTTTTGACCTCATTCGACTGACATCAATTTTGACTTTGATTATTATCATTTGATTATTTTGCTAATTTGTTTCCCTTTCCTTACTATATACCATCAGAATTAGGGTGGGCTCTAAGTAGTGATAAATATAGGAGGCAGGACAGAATTCAGGAAACTTTTTACAGTATTCATCTTGATTAAAAATGTGTGTTTTTATAAAGTATTTTAATTTCACCTAGTAATCATACTTTTTATTTTAGAGTTGGAATCTTTAGAACAGCAGTTAGAAGATAGTCAAGTAGAAAAATTTAATATTAAACAAATGAAAGACTTATTTGAACAGAAAGCAACACAACTGGCCACTGAGATTGTGGGTAAGTTGTCCACTACTTATTGCATAATACAGTGTCGTCTTCTTGTTTAAATTGAAGGAACACCTTTTTAAAAATCTTTCTCTACAACAGAACTTAAAGCCAAATATGATGAAGAAACAAGCCTTCGAGAACTTGCAGAACAGAAAGTGACTAATTTGACACAAGAGTTACAGAAGCAAAAAGGTGTATGTGAAGATTTAAACACAGAGCTGGTAATTCTTGTGGTCATGTTTTATCATGCCTTGTCTAATTGAAAGGGGATGATTTCTACAGCTTGATCATTTTAATTACAGATCTTTAAAAAAACAAGTTGATATTTATTTTTATAGTTATTTATTTCTGGTGCAACATAAAGAATCAACTTCTATGCTACAGTAATGGATATGTTTCTTTCCCTTGCTAAAAATAAATACTTTAATTTGAAATATCCTTTGTTTTCCATTCATTGTCATATTTTTCCTGTTTATCGTGGCAATAGTAGTTTGCTGTCAGTAGACAATTATTTATTCATTCTCATTCTTAATTATTACTGTTTTTAGAGTTAATTTGCAATATGTGTATTTTTATAAATTATGCTATTTTTATATTTGTGCATATTTTATAAATTACGAAGTTCATTCCTACTGAGGAAACTATTTTAAAATACAGAAATTAAATATAAGGACTGTGTAGATATTTACATTCAAAGATTCTTGGCAGGATTACAAATATATACTAAATATCCAGAATAAAAGATAAAATGTCCATAGTATATAAGAGATGTAATTGTTAAGAGTCAACATCAACTTAATGACACATAAATGATCTAACATGGACTATACATTAAAAAAACCCATATCAACATATAAGCTAAAAATGGAGGGAAGAAAATCACCAGATAGCATCATTTTAACTAATTTGAAAAATGAAATTAAAAAAGCTCTCCAGAAGAGGCCTACCTTCAGTTGCTTGCACTGGGGAAGTCAAACATACAGGAGAAGTGTATGTTCCATAATACAGTAGATGTTATAGAGCAGGCATGTCAAACTTGCGACGTCACGTGACATTGCGCGACATATTGTGACTTTTTCTCCATTGCTGGCAATGGGGTGGGCGCGGTCTCGTCGTGATGCATCTGGCCCGCGGGCCGGCAGTTTGACATGCCTGCTATAGAGTAATGGAAAAATATCTTCTCCTGTCTTCAGTGCTCCTAACTTCATAAGAGTAAGTGACTAACTATAACTTTTCCTTGGTTGTAAGTTTTAGACAGGTTAATTCTAATTGCAAGAGATCTTAACCCACATAAGACTTTCTAGATCAAACCAGCATTTTAAATTGAACCTGGAAACCTATTAGTAAACAATCGAGGTCTGCAGCACAGTTGTAAAGTGGACAGCTGCTTTTTTGCATCAACAGGAGTTTTTGAATAGTCATTAAAAGAAAGTCCATGTAAAGTGCCTTTACGGTTCTCCAGTTTGTGTTGCAATAATACAGGTAGTGATCAGAACATAAATGACCTTTGCTTTATATAAGACTGTCATTGGTGCTCCAGTCAAAGCTAGACAAGAAACTGTTTAATTCCATAATGTATTTTGGAGCGCTTATGGGTACATAGAATAGCTATTGGGAACACTTTTAAATTCAATGTCTCTTTTCACTAGTTTGTATAGCAGCTATGGAATTCTAGGAAAAGATGCAACTACATGTTTCTCAATATGTGCTTTGGGCATACTCTTATGGTTTTCAAAAGTTATTGTGTTCTCAATGTCTGCTAACCCTATGATTAATTGATTAATCAACAGTTGAAAATATTTATGTTGAATGTCTCTAAGTAGTTGAAGTGATTTAGCTGCATAGTATTTTAACAAAATAAGTTAAAGAAAAATTATTAAAATTGCAGAAAGCTGAGATTTTTTGGGGGGAACTACAACAGTAGATGTATTTCAGTTATATTAAAGCATGGGTGTCAAACTCACCACATCACGTGACGTGTCGCAACATATCGTGACTTTTTTCGCATTGCCGGAGGTGGGGTGGGTGCAGCATCTGTATGATGCAACAGGCCTGTGGGCCGGCAGTTTGACACCCCTGTATTAGAATATACTGTAACAGCTTTCATAAAATTAAGTAGCTTTAAGACTAGACTTTGGAATATAGAAAATATATTTACACACACACAGATACACAAATTGGTTTTGCACAATAATTTTATAAACCATGTTGAAAATATAATTTCATTTTGAACTTTGTAGTACTGATTTTTATATTGTTGTTTTCTAAAGCTTCAAAGACCTGGGGTAGAAGACGTTGCGGTTCTAAAGAAGGAATTAGTCCAAGTTCAAACATTGATGGATAAGATGACTTTGGAATGTGAGAAAGAATCTGAGAAATTGAAAGATGAGTGCAATCATTTGAGAGCAGATTATACAAATGCAAAGGTAACGAATCTAGTCAAAACATTTGAATATGAGCCATAATTTTATAATTTAATGTGGTTATATTAGTAGAAAGCTATATGATTAAAAATTTGAAAGTCATTTAGTGGTGGTACAGTATAACTCTTTTTGCTGCAAGATAACACTTTTTTCCCTTTAGAAATTCTCTAGTTATAACACTGATATACTATAATGATAAATTTGAATTATCTTGGATGTTCTCAAGATCATTTCAGTTCAGTTCAGTTCTTGTTCACTTTTTTATTAGTTAATCAAAACTCTACCAGTTAGAACAGAGGTGTCAAACTGCTGGCCCTTGGGCCAGACGCATCACGCGGAAGCCGCGCCCACCCCGTTGCCAGCAATGGCAAAACTCTCCTGATACGTTGCGTGACATCACGTGATGTTGTGAGTTTGACATGTCTGAGTTAGAAGGTGGGATAATGTCATGCTTATAAATAATCTGTCTTAGAACTCATATCTTACTCAATTTATGTTTTGTTTTGAAGTTCTGAAGCCATCCATGATAATACTTTGACAAGATCATTGTTGTCAAAATCAATGTGAAACAGTTTTGCACATTAAAATGCATGAATTCATTTTTGTGTTGTGTCAGATAGGACTATAATGACAAAATAATTGTAAGGTGATGCTCTATAGCTCTGCAATTTATATATATATATATATAAAATATTACATTAAGTAAAATTAGATATTTTTAGAAATTTTTAGTTACTTCTCTCAAACATTTAAATGCTTTTTTAAAAAAAAGTGCAGTTATTTCTTGGAAACATCGCATATAAGCTCTAATAAGAAGTTCTTGTGTACAGTTTTGTTATGGATAATGAATATGAAAATATTCAATCTTATTTGTAGTCCTTGGCTTATGACCATTCATATAGTGATCGAAATTATGATGATGCTCAAAAACATGCCTTATAATTGGTTCTCACATTTATGACTGTCACAGTATCCTCTTGTCATGTGATCAAATTTTGGACGCTTGCCAATTGTTCCAGCATCTTGGAACGTGTGCCATTTGCAACTTTCCCAGCTGCTTTCTGACAGGTAAACTCAGTGGGGAAAGCCAGATTTACTTAACTGTGATTCATTTAATGGCCATAGTGACTTGCTTAATGACCACACCAATAAAGTTATAAAATCAGGCACAACCACCTTGCATAGCGATGGAAGTTCTGGTCCCAGTTGTCATAAGTTGAGGACTGTCTATATTGAATTCAGCAGTGTTTATTCCAGTAACTACATACTTTATTACATTGCATTGTTGTACCCTGATGCTAAGTGTAACATGATTAAATTATAATCCTGCTTGATATACTTGATTGGGTTGTTAGGGTACATAAAATCCTTAGATAACTCAACTTTGCAGATTTCTGCATACATTGTCTTATTTATTCAGTATTTGTAAAATATTTTTGTTATTCATGGATGCATCATTAGATTGTGCCTAATTGGTTGTTTCTTTTGGCTTTTTGATTGTACAAAACACGTTTCCTTTGACTGTTCTTGCCAAATAAGCCAAAGTGGTTATATTCACTTACTGTAAACTTTAAAAGCAAATCACTGGGTTACAAAGCTTACTAAGCCAGAATCAGTCTACATTCTGTTTAAATGCAGTGTGTAGAACCAGTCAATTCAATATTAATCTCCTTATTTGGGTTAATGGTTCTTAACTGCTTCTCAGCCGTGCCTAACACACATTATATGCTTCCAAACATCTGAGGAAATGGAAACATAGAAGTGGCAAACTCTAGAAATTCTTGATGAAAAAATTAGAGGATTGGAGCTACGATAGCCAATTTTCAGATTCTAAGAAAGAAGATTCATCAGAAGACAGTAAAGGGCATTACTGTAAAAAGTGACAGAAAAAGCAATTCTAGGAGGAGGATCGTCAAACAAAGGAACAAGTCTGAGAATATCTGCAGGAAGCAAGAGAAATCGGACATTGTCTGCATCATTGGAACCATTAAGGATCAGTCTGAGTTCTCAGATTCAGGACCTGAAGAATCTTACCAGACTGAGCCTTAGCTTGCTTCACATGACGAGAATGACACCTGAGGGGAGACAGCTGTGGGCTGAGTGAGCTGATCTATACAGTCTTTGTTAGCAAGTGATTTACTTGAAAGAAGTGTTTCTGTCAATTAGTGCAGCTAAGGAACTAGTCCAGAGGATAAGAAACGTAAGTCTTATGAAGATAGATGGAAGAGATGGGCATATTTAGCTTTGAAAAGTCTGAGAGTGGGGAATGTAATAGCGTTCTTCATGCAGAAGAGTGCCAAGATCATTTAACCATTACTGCAGAGTATAGGATGTGAAATATTGGATTTAAGTTAGCAGGCAGGATAAGTCTGATTAAATGTCAGAAAAAAACATTAACAATAAGAGCAATTAGGCAGTTGAAACCATTACCTAAGGTTGAGTTCCCCTCTGCTGTATTTGTTCAAGTAGAAGCTAGGCAGCCTTCTCTAGGAGATGCTATAATTTGAATTCCTGTGGTAAGCAGAAGATGGGAAAACCCCTTCTACCTCTGATTTTAGGTTTAGTCACTCACAAAGACAAATCTTTTCTGATTGAAAACGCAAAGCAACACTTGTATATTTTTCTTCTTTTGATCATAACAGTTTTTATGTAGAATCTGCTGAGAATTGTGATTTTTCTAAATTGGCTTTAAAATCATTGACGTCTGTCCCAATTAAATGTGCATGGTTTATCAGCATCACGCTCCTGATTTAAGAGATCCATGAACATTCTGTCTAATGTTGAAATAACATTTATCATTGTTTTCTTTTCCATTCACTCATCATTTTTTTTTTGCTGCTTTCTGTGGAGGTCTTTAAATCTGAGGTAATTCTCTAACCTTTACACCTCTTTTCAAAGATAACTACAAACAAATAGCAAATCAGTCAGGAACTAATTGTGTACATATTTACAAGCCACTAATCCTTTTTTTGCACTTATTTTACAAACCATTCTCACAATTAAAATAGCTAGATTTCCAGTGATTTTATGTGATTGGTATCAGTATCCGTATTTTGTCTGTTCTTAATGAATTTGCAACAAAACATTCTGATCTGCTCTTTTTGGATTTAATTGTTTTATTATTTGTTTGGTGGTTTCATGAACCACATCAGGACTCTTTTTTTGGGGGGGGGGGCTGAAAGGAATGGAAATCCCTTAGTAAGTAAATTCTGCAAAATGCTGGATAAATATAGTTCCAGAAAATCAGAAAAAATAGATTGATCCAAAAGTGCATATCAGTTTTCTCCAAAATAGTGCTCTCATGGCAAGAGATTGTATTTCCCAACTAGCCTTAAGAAACTGCATATGAACAAGCCTGAAGGACAGTAGTTTAAGAAAGGTAGCTTGTGAGAGCAGTTGTAACAGCCTGGCCCTTACATGTCCTTTTAGGTTCATTTTTCCTTAATAAAAGAAGAAACGGAGTTTTGTGTCCCAATCTTTGGTAAGCTCATATGAAATCAAGTTAAATAAGTCACAAAGATCTTGTCTCTTATGTTTTATCGAGTCTTCAATGTTTGAAGTTGTGTCGTGGTCAGGAGTGAATTTCTTGTAGAGTGAAGGAATTCACTTTGCATGTTATAATGATAACTCTGTCAGATTTAGAGAAAACTCCCTTTGTTTTTTCTTACTGGTACTTTTCCATTATTGTACAGCAGTTCGTGGGAGAACTGTCAAATGAATTACATAAATCATGATCCACCTACTGATCATATTTTTCCCCTGTCCTGCAACCAAACCCCAAGTATAATATTTACTTTTAAAATAAAGCGATGCTCAGTATGTTCTGATATACTAGTTTTACTCTAATATATTTATTTTATTTAAGCACTCAGAACAACTATAACTTGTTGACTAGTTACCACTAGATTTCTGAAGGATGTACAGGAGGTTTTTTTCTGTTTTGATTCACATATCTTACAAAACTGAATTTTTGATAAATGCTACATTCACTCACATATAACGCTTTGTGCATAAAGTGCAGCTTTAAATGCCTCTACTTGTTTCTCCAAGCCTTATTTTCAGAAGTCATGAAAAAGTAACATTTAAAGATAAGAATGGATGGAAAGAAACAGTAAGAGGATACAGGTTCCAGTTCTTAGGTCCTAGTGGATTTATTCTATAACAATAAGTATCTAAAGTAATAAGATGTACAAAATAAGGAGAATAGTTTACACCAAATACAAGGAAATCCCCTATTATCATTAAGAAATACAGTACAGATAGTCCTCAACTTACAACAATTCGCTTAGTGACTATTTGAAGTTACAAAGTGACTTATGACCATTTTTCACACTTATGACCGTTGCAGCATCCCCAGGGTCAAGTGATTTACATTTGGATGCTTGGCAACTGATCCATATTTATGACGGTCACAGTGTCCCAGGGTCATGTGATTCCCTTTTGCAACCTTCTGACAAGCAAAATCAATGGGGAAACCAGATTCACTTAAGAACTGTGTTACTAATTTAACAACTGCAGTGATTCACTTAATAAATGTGGCAAGAAAAGTCATAAAATGGGACAAAACTCATTTAACAAATTTCTCACTTAGCAACAGAAAATTTGGGCTCAGTGTGGTTATAGGTTGAGGACTGTCTGTATAATTGTTTTTCACCAGGTGTTTGCATATACAAACATGTATAGACATCTCTGTTTATGTGTTTATATAAACACTCTGTTTATATATTCAAACATTTCTATTTATGCATTCATTATTAACATTTTTTCTTTCTGTAGAACAAAACTAGAATTTTAGCTTTCAAATTTAAAATGAGACTTTGTCTAAAACATGTAATATAGAATAATAAGTTTGTAAGGGACTTTGGAGATCTTCTCGTCCAACCCTCTCCCCCTGGCAGGAGATCCTATACCATTCCAGACTTACTTTGGGTTTGATGGGATGGATACACGTGATCATAGAATACCAGAACAGAATTAACAAGAGTTGGAAGGGACCCTGAAAGTCCTCTAAGAGAACAGGCGGCTTGTTTTTATAAAGAAAATACTATTAACAAGAGTCATGAAATGTTTAATACAAATAATGTTTCAGAATGATGTCTTACTAGGATCAGGAAAATTACTGGTACAAATTGTCTGATGGCATCCACTATATTTTTCCTGCCAAATCTGAGTTGAAATAGAGAAAAGGAAACCCTTCAGTTCTGAATTTGGCAAGAATACAAGTAACTGATCCTTAGCCATAATGTTAAACTTGCATTTTTTGTGTAGCTTTTCTTACTGGTAGCATAAACAAAGCAGGAATCATGGTTTTGTGATCCAATTGTAATATTATTTCTTCTTTTTTACTAGTAATATTTGAAGAATTTATATAAAACAATGTTTCCGTATACACTTCGTATAATATACATTTAAATAACTTTAATTTTTTTGAAGACATATTAACTTTTGTTATGGATTTCCATAATTATTTTATGGGAATATATTCCTGTTGAATTAAAAGTCTAAATCAATTTTTTTCATCCTCCCCCCATAGGCTACCATTAATAAGTTAAATGCTGAACTTGCTAAAGGACCACAGGAAGTTGCTACATATGTACAAGAGATCCAGAATCTTCAAACTTCAGTTAATGAATTTGCCCAGAAAAATCAGGTAAAAATTATTATTTGTGTTTTGAAAGCTATAGACTGATGTTCTTGTTCAGTTCTAAAGGTAAAGTCTTACCAGTTAAACAAATAATGTAGCCTCTGAGATTATTTATTAAGGTTATTGACTTGTACCTCTTCTAATATGACAAAATTAAGCCAAGATCTGTTCTTGGATTTGGTCTCATGTATTTTGAAAAAAATAGTCAGAGATGCTAGCCCATTAGGAACCTTGGATTGATATGAAATATTATTTTATTAGATCATGCAGTATTTTTCAGTTGATCCTAATGCAGCAGATATCATACTTTCTATTCTTACAGCATTTATATACTTATATATACTTGCAAACACATACTCTTTTGTTCTGAAGCTCACATGGTTGTGGCTGCAACTGAGTTTACAAGCAACAGGAAAAGTGGGATTGCATCTTCTCAGTTTAGGGTCCTTCTTGACAGTATAGTAGAATAATAAAAATCCAAACTCAGAATATTGTTTTATGACAAAAATAATAATGGAAAGCTACATTTTGGGTCCTTCAGTGGTATATGTAGCAATGCATGTTTTTATATTAAAATAATAATTTTGCATTTTTATCCAGCTATTATTTTATTTAAAATTAATGGAATATAATCTCAGTTGTATCCACAACTCAATTTTAGAGTCTAGTGGAAAAATTAAAAAAGAAAGAATTGGAATATATCCTGTTAGAAGAAAGACAAAATGAAGAATCACTGGGTATTTCCTTAGACGTCCGTTGAGAATTAGTTTTCCTTAACCTGACAGTTGTTGAAGTCCGTTCTGAGAGACGTAGACTCCTGAGTAATGTCTCTAACGTCTTTCTTAACACACTTTTCCCTCTTCGTTCAGTTTTTGAATTCCTTCTTAACAGTCTTCGACTTCGGTTTTTGGTCGTAGAATTCCGTCTTATGTTCGTCAAGCAACAACAAAGGGAAGAAAAAGAACAGCGAAGCCTACTGCTTCAAAACGAGCTCAATCAGGTAAAATTTAAGTTTATCCATTCTTAAGCAAATAAATTATAAAACCTGATTTCACTTGTTGACCAAGAATCCCTATACTGTTTTTCATAGTTTAAACAGAACTAAAACTTTTTTTAAAAAAACAACCAACTACAGCAGACATGTCAAACTCGCGACGTCACGTGATGTCGCGAGACGTATCGGGACAGTTTTGCCATTGCCGGCAATGGGATGGGCGCGGCTTCCAGATGATGCGTCCAGCCTGTGGGCAGGCAGTTTGACACCCCTGAACTACAGCATGCAAATACCTTCTCTAAACCATTGCTTTAAATTAATGACATAACTCAAATAAAACAGTTTTAGAACCTTGGTATCATACAAAACTTATCCTGAAAGTAGCATTTAGCTTAAGCAGATTAAGAAACAGTTTTTCTCCCTTCTGCTTCTACGTTTGATTTCAAAGACACTTTACCTGCAATAAACCAGAACATTACTTTATGACTAAAATTATTCTGCCAATTAACAGTTAACTTTTTCCCTGCCTGTGGAGCTTTCTATTATGTTAGTTTTTGCCTGATTTAAGCTATATTTAAGTGTACATAGATATTAATAGATCCCCCTTAAAGTTAAGCAAGAACATTAATCACTATTAGCTGGTAGTACCTTGTGGCCAGCAGAATTAACTTAGGTCTTTCCCGGATCCATTTCTCCCTCTGGTAAGTTAGACATGATCCCTTGAACCCTGGTCCTTTTCTATCTTCAGTGATCCATCACTTTAGAACCTATAGTGTTCTTTACTCCACCTTGGAACTTGCAGCTCTTTCAGTAGCCAAAACTGTATAAACCCAGCAGTTAGTTTGCTAGCTAGCTGCTTTTCCCTCTTTCCAAAACCCTTAATCTTTTCCTACTAGCCTTTCAGGTAATGTTCATCTCTTCCCTTCCATACCCTGTGAGAGCTCTACATGAAAAGCCTTTATTTACTACAGTTTAGTGCTTTTCCAGGTGAATTAATTAACCTCCACATACAGTTTGTATATTTTGGGTGATCTCGTGATAGACTAGCAGACTGTGTTTACTTGCAGTTGATATGTATGTTTAACTTGCTTGTCTGAAGAAAACAGACTATACTGTGGTTTGAAGTCAGTTAAGACAATCTAGTCATATAAATGTATTATAATAAATATATGTATTGGTTTTATATAAATAACTTGGGGCCAATATATAGTGGTTAAGGTACTGGACCATCCAGGTTTTAAGTTTACTCTTGGGCATGAAAGCTAGCAGTGTGACTTTGGTCCAGTTATTCTTTCTTATCCTAGAAAGGAAATGGAAAAACATCTGTCTACCTATCTGGACTAGACCAGTAGACTTTAATCTAATGATTATCTGCAACCATTAGTGAAGAGACTTTTATTTTGCAGTGGATTGATTTGGGAAAACAAAATATAAGGCTGCTCCCATTATTTGAGTTGCAGTCTACTTGTGATTGGAAGGGAAGCATGAACTGAATCATCCCATGGGCCAGACTTTTTGACTGGGTTGTGTGTGGCTGTCTACTTACTAGGACTGTATGTGTTGATAGCATTTGTATGTAAGCACAGTAGTTTAAAAAAAAACCCCAAAGCATGGCATGTTCATCAAAATGAGACCTGTTTTTCATTTCCAGTTACACAATAAACTTCTGGAAACAGAACATCAACTTGGGGAAGCACAGGGCCGACTAAAAGAGCAGAGACAGCTATCTAGTGAAAAGCTGATGGAGAAGGAACAGCAAGTGGCTGACATTCAGTTAAAGTTTTCACGTGCTGAAGAGCAGGTAAGAATTATATGCAGAACATAATTTTGATTGAATTGAATTTGTTTTTGGTAATCAGTAACCAGAAAACTCCATATTGCATGTTGTCTTTTCCCTTTGCTTCTTTAATTAAATGTAATTTCCAAAATTCCTTAATCCTTCATTAAGCATAATAGATCAGGGTAGTCGTCATTATCCTAGAAGTACTTAATGTCTGTTTCTCAAGATTTTTTCAGGGTTGGGTCCAACCTTTGCCTGGCTATAACTGAGTATATGTAAGAATGATAAAGATTATTGTTATTGCTGCCAAATTAATTATTGGTATCTAAAAATTATAGTTTTCTTAGAATACTTGATAATGAGAAACAACAGAACTTTATTTTTTACACATCTTTCTTAACGAAAAATGCCTAATGTAATATAGGAAATAATCATCTACTGTTATAAGGTTGTTACAACATTTTGATTTTGTTGGAAAAGTTGTTGAAGTGACAGATTTTTTTTTTAAAAAAACTACTTGTAGGACAAATATATCACATGACTTCTAATTTAATAATAAAAGGCATCTGATGTAAAATACTTCAGTATTAGAGTAAATTATAAACTATTAAACTACTAAATTGTGCTTGTCAGTTTTCAGTCAACAGTCTGTGACTATTTTTCTAAGCTAAAGGAAAAAGCGGCAAATACAACTGAATTACAACATCAATTAGACAAAATGAAGCAGCAGCATCAAGAGCAGCAGAACCTTCAGCAAAGTACGACAGCAAAACTTCGAGAAGCCCAGGTAAGAGAATTTAGCTGCTGAGAAAAAAGCCCAACATATTGCTAGTGTGCTATAGAAGAGTTTCCCAACCTTTTCAACTTGCAGACCAGCAGGGAGGGAGAGGGGATGGTTCCGCATGAGTGGCAGACAAGTGCACACGGGCGCGTAGTTCCATTTGAGTGAGCGGTGGGCGCGCCTGCCCACCGCTTGCGCATATGGAGTGCCCACACATGCTCTTGTTCGCTGCTTGCGCAAGTAGGGATGCGCACATGCGCCCACCACTCCCACTGCCCAATTCCAAAAGGCTCAAGACCCGGTAATGGGCTGTGGCCCGGGAGTTGAAGAACCCTGTGCTACAAGAAGAAATATTTTTGTTAAAATGCAGGTTATAGTTACTACGGCAAGATAAGGAGCTTGGTAGAATCGAGTTTTGATGATTTATAAATGGACTGTTATGCTATTTTTTTAATGGAACTCTTATTAGGCATGACATATCAAGTGGCTCAGAATTTGACATATTTTTGTTTTGAAGCATTGTTATTGGTGACTGCATTTCTGAAGCTCATTTCAAAGTAGGAATTGACCTTCAAATCTATATATTTCATAATATGTAGCTCTTTATCATTGATATTTGATAGCAACAATTTGTGGCAGATACCATTAATTCATTAGGCTTTAGAGATATATCTTTTATTTTTATTCTCCCCATTTTTTCTGAAAAATGAATAAAAACTTTTCTTTATGTTTTAAACAAACTAATTTTCTCTTGTATGTTCCATATTGCAAACATTTTATTTTGATTGTACTTTTTAACTTTCATGATTCAACTTTCTGTTTAATTACATGGAGAATAAAAATGGCTTCAAGTTGTTTTTGTTAAAAAAGGGGCCAGGAGCTCTTAAATATAGTGTGCAGAAATTATGTTCCTAGATAAATTTAGCTATTGTATTCCCCCTTTCCAAGAATGATTTAGAGCAAGTTCTACGTCAGATTGGTGATAAAGATCAAAAAATCCAAAACCTTGAAGCCCTGCTACAAAAGAGTAAGGAGAATATTTCTCTGCTAGAAAAAGAAAGGGAAGACTTGTATGCAAAAATTCAAGCTGGTGAAGGAGAAACAGCAGTTCTAAATCAGTTACAGGAGAAGAACCATGCTTTGCAGGAACAGGTAAGAGGTTTTCAAAGTAAAAATTCCAAATTTGTTAGATGACAGTATTTTAAAAGTGACATATCCTGTTACTTGATGGTTCATGTCTTGTTGCCTAAAGTCCCTATTACAGGTAGTCCTCAACGTATAACCACAATTGAGCCCAGAATTTATGTTGCTAATTGAGAAATTTGTTAAGTGAGTTTTCCCCATTTTATGACTTTTCTTGCCGCATTTATTAAGTGAACCACTGCAGTTGTTAAATTAGTAACACGGCTGTTAAATGAATTGACTTTGCTTGTCAGAAGGTTGCAAAAGAGGATCACATGATTCCAGGACACTGCAACAGTCATAAATATGAACCAGTTGTCAAGCATCTGAATGTAAATCACATGACCATAGGAGATGCTGCAGCGATCATAAGTGTGAAAAATGGTCATAAGTCACATTTTTCAGTGCCGTTGTAAATGAACTGTTGTAAGTCGCGGACCATCTGTATTGCATAGGGATTAACTACGTTAAGGTTAGATGTGGAAGAATGAAGGATAAAAAGGCAAAGTCTTAGAAGTGGAGAGTTTGNGGTTTGAAGTCAGTTAAGACAATCTAGTCATATAAATGTATTATAATAAATATACGTATTGGTTTTATACAAATAACTTAGGGCCAATATATAGTGGTTAAGGTACTGGACCATCCAGGTTTAAGTTTACTCTTGGGCATGAAAGCTAGCAGTGTGACTTTGGTCCACTTATTCTTTCTTATCCTAGAAAGGAAATGGAAAAACATCTGTCTACCTATCTGGACTAGACCAGTAGACTTTAATCTAATGATTATCTGCAACCATTAGTGAAGAGACTTTTATTTTGCAGTGGATTGATTTGGAAAAACAAAATATAAGGCTGCTCCCATTATTTGAGCTGCAGTCTACTTGTGATTGGAAGGGAAGCATGAACTGAATCATCCCATGGGCCAGACGTTTTGACTGGGTTGTGTGTGGTTGTCTACTTACTAGGACTAAATGTGTTGTTAGCATTTGTATGTAAGCGCAGTAGTTTAAAAAAAAACCCCAAAGCATGGCATGTTCATCAAAATGAGACCTGTTTTCATTTCCAGTTACACAATAAACTTCTGGAAACAGAACATCAACTTGGGGAAGCACAGGGCCGACTAAAAGAGCAGAGACAGCTATCTAGTGAAAAGCTGATGGAGAAGGAACAGCAAGTGGCTGACATTCAGTTAAAATTTTCACGTGCTGAAGAGCAGGTAAGAATTATATGCAGAACATAATTTTGATTGAATTGAATTTGTTTTTGGTAATCAGTAACCAGAAAACTCCATATTGCATGCTGTCTTTTCCCTTTGCTTGCTTTAATTAAATGTAATTTCCAAAATTCCTTAATCCTTCATTAAGCATAATAGATCAGGGTAGTCATCATTATCCTAGAAGTACTTAATGTCTGTTTCTCAAGATTTTTTCAGGGTTGGGTCCAACCTTTGCCTGGCTATAACTGAGTATGTGTAAGAATTATAAAGATTATTGTTATTGCTGCCTAATTAATTATTGGTATCTAAAAATTATAGTTTTCTTAGAATACTTGATAATGAGAAACAACAGAACTTTATTTTTTACACATCTTTCTTAATGAAAAATGCCTAATGTAATATAGGAAATAATCATCTACTGTTATAAGGTTGTTATAACATTTTGATTTTGTTGGAAAAGTTGTTGAAGTGACAGATTTTTTTTTAAAAAAAACTACTTGTAGGACAAATATATCACATGACTTCTAATTTAATAAAAAAAGGCATCTGATGTAAAATACTTCAGTATTAGAGTAAATTATAAACTATTAAACTACTAAATTGTGCTTGTCAGTTTTCAGTCAACAGTCTGTGACTATTTTTCTAAGCTAAAGGAAAAAGCGGCAAATACAACTGAATTACAACATCAATTAGACAAAATGAAGCAGCAGCATCAAGAGCAGCAGAATCTTCAGCAAAGTACGACAGCAAAACTTCGAGAAGCCCAGGTAAGAGAATTTAGCTGCTGAGAAAAAAGCCCAACATATTGCTAGTGTGCTATAGAAGAGTTTCCCAACCTTTTCACCTTGCAGACCAGCAGGGAGGGAGAGGGGATGGTTCCGCATGAGTGGCAGACAAGTGCACACGGGCGCGCAGTTCCATTTGAGTGAGCGGTGGGCGCACCCGCCCACCGCTTGCGCATATGGAGTGCCCACACATGCTCTTGTTCGCTGCTTGCGCAAGTAGGGATGCGCACATGCGCCCACCACTCCCACTGCCCAATTCCAAAAGGCTCAAGACCTGGTAATGGGCTGTGGCCCGGGAGTTGAAGAACCCTGTGCTACAAGAAGAAATATTTTTGTTAAAATGCAGGTTATAGTTACTACGGCAAGATAAGGAGCTTGGTAGAATCAAGTTTTGATGATTTATAAATGGACTGTTATGCTATTTTTTTAATGGAACTCTTATTAGGCATGACATATCAAGTGGCTCAGAATTTGACATATTTTTGTTTTGAAGCATTGTTATTGGTGACTGCATTTCTGAAGCTCATTTCAAAGTAGGAATTGACCTTCAAATCTATATATTTTGTAATATGTAGCTATTTATCATTGATATTTGATAGCAACAATTTGTGGCAGATACCACTAATTCATTAGTATAGGCTTTAGAGATATATCATTTATTTTTATTTTTCTTCTTCCCATTTTTTCTGAAAAATGAATACAAACTTTTCTTTATGTTTTAAACAAACTAATTTTCTCTTGTATGTTCCATATTGCAAACATTTTATTTTGATTGTACTTTTTAACTTTCATGATTCAACTTTCTGTTTAATTACATGGAGAATAAAAATGGCTTCAAGTTGTTTTTGTTAAAAAGGGGGCCAGGAGCTCTTAAATATAGTGTGCAGAAATTATGTTCCTAGATAAATTTAGCTATTGTATTCCCCCTTTCCAAGAATGATTTAGAGCAAGTTCTACGTCAGATTGGTGATAAAGATCAAAAAATCCAAAACCTTGAAGCCCTGCTACAAAAGAGTAAGGAGAATATTTCTCTGCTAGAAAAAGAAAGGGAAGACTTGTATGCAAAAATTCAAGCTGGTGAAGGAGAAACAGCAGTTCTAAATCAGTTACAGGAGAAGAACCATGCTTTGCAGGAACAGGTAAGAGGTTTTCAAAGTAAAAATTCCAAATTTGTTAGATGACAGTATTTTAAAAGTGACATATCCTGTTACTTGATAGTTCATGTCTTGTTGCCTAAAGTCCCTATTACAGGTAGTCCTCAACGTATAACCACAATTGAGCCCAGAATTTATGTTGCTAATTGAGAAATTTGTTAAGTGAGTTTTCCCCATTTTATGACTTTTCTTGCCGCATTTATTAAGTGAACCACTGCAGTTGTTAAATTAGTAACACGGCTGTTAAATGAATTGACTTTGCTTGTCAGAAGGTTGCAAAAGAGGATCACATGATTCCAGGACACTGCAACAGTCATAAATATGAACCAGTTGTCAAGCATCTAAATGTAAATCACATGACCATAGGAGATGCTGCAGCGATCATAAGTGTGAAAAATGGTCATAAGTCACATTTTTCAGTGCCGTTGTAAATGAACTGTTGTAAGTCGCGGACCATCTGTATTGCATAGGGATTAACTACGTTAAGGTTAGATGTGGAAGAATGAAGGATAAAAAGGCAAAGTCTTAGAAGTGGAGAGTTTGTTAGGAATAAAACTCTTCTATGAGAATTTTTGGAAGGAAGCTAAAAATCCAAAGCTTGCTTTTCCCATTATTTTTCCTTCTAACAGACAGGGCCAATTTTGATTGGTCTCTCTGAAGGAAGGATTCAGGATTGCCCTACATAGTGAGTAGAGTTGTTGGGTCTGGCTTTGTTCTATAATTTGTAGCAAAAAGTGATCTGAAAATATATTTTAGAAGAGCTAGGTCTATGTTGCTTTTCAAAAACACAGTGATGGAGGGGTCATTGTAATCTCTCAGGAATGCTGTTCAGGCATGAGAGCAGCGATAGAAAGCCAGACTCTGTGGTCTCTCCAGATAATATTCCTTTATTATGGACCCAGAGGGAATCTTTTGTTCCAGATCTATAATAGACATGCAGAAACCACTTGAAGAAGAAACTGCCAAGGATACCCAGATCTTGAGACATAAAATTTCAGGACCGGTCCACAGCCAGTTTTAATTTCAACATTTTATTATTGCTTTTCTTTATTTTGCATATAGGTTACACAGTTGGCAGAAAAATTGAAGAATCAGTCAGAAAGCCATAAACAGGCCCTAGAAAATTTGCATGAGCAAGTGCAGGAACAGAAATCCCATTTAAGAGCCTCTCAAGATCATGTTCTTTCCTTGGAAACAACTACCAGTGAGCTACATAATCAGCTAAGTGAAAGTAAAGAAAAAGTAATGCAACTTGATTTGCAGGTGATCTAACTTTATATTTTTACTTATGTAAAGTATAAGGGATAGGAATACTAATTTAATTTTGACAAACCCAGTAACACCTATCAAACTAAGCCCCAGAAAGTTTAAATCTGTAAGCATTGCATATACTGGTGCATTTGGATATTATGTCACTATTTTATTGTGATGAAACTACCCTTGAGTGAACCTTGGGCTTGCAGGTTTTCCCTTTGCCTCTATGGCACAGCTGTGAGAGGATTATTGAAACTTTTGCTTCCATAGATTTATAACTGATAGCTCGTTGTGATGGGGAATAAGCTATGGTAAGTCTTGGTCTTGCATATCCCCTTCATTATGACTCTGCAGTTTTTTCATCTCAGTGAGGGTACTGAGAAGATAGTGTATTGAAGAAGTTACTTTGTATTATAGTTTTAAAAGGTATATGTAGATAGTAGGTTAGAAAGAAATCAGACGGTGTATTCCTGTGGTTTTCTGGAAGGCCACTAGACAAACATATGAAAGCTTAAGCTTTGGACAGGTGTTCCCACAAGGTGTTGGGGATGAGGGGAAATGCCTGTGCATGTAACATCCCTGCAGGAAAGTGGATCTTTAGTGGGGGATCAGACCATTTTATTAATGGGATAACTGATACCAAAATCATATGCTTCCCATCCTTCCTTGCCCATCCTTCTTCTGCCATCCATTGCGGGAGACAAGCAGAGAAGAGTGGCTCCTTTGTTACTGGTTCTTTGATCTTAGACTTTGGTACCTTATAAATATGCTTTTGTAAATATCAATTTAACTCTGTTTGAAGTGAGCTTAGAATCAAAGATCTGGATAAAATTTTAAAGCAATTTAATGTACTATGACTAAACAGTAAAGTCAAGTATTTCGCAGTCTTTTGTTAAATTATTCATAACTGGTGACACATTTTAGAATAGAAATGAATTGTGGTTTTTCAATAATGTAGAACATTTAATTTTTCTGGTCGATTTTAGTTCAATTGTATTATTTATATTTACAATTTAATAAGTGTACCACAGCATTGTCTGTCTGTCTGTCTAACTTCTATCCATTGATAATGTTGTGGTACAATTAGTAAATTGTTTACCCTGGGAAAATCTGACGTTTTACAAGGTAACAACTATGTAATATTATCAATATTAGAGAATATATTTTAATTCTATGTCAGGTAAAAGCAAAGACTGAATTGCTTCTGTCAGCGGAGGCAGCAAAAGCTGCTCAGAGAGCAGACCTTCAGAATCATTTGGATACTGCCCAGAATGCGTTGCAAGACAAACAGCAGGTGAGAGAAATAGTAAGAACCTATATTATGGTTTCACAATTAAGAAAGATTTATTTAAAACAAGGTGAATCTTATGTGTCATCTAAAATATGTAACTTTGTGATGTTATTTTTATATTTATCTCAGATAGCCCAAATGATACATTTAAAATATATAGTTTCTAAATAAAATGTAAAATGTCGGGGACAATGTTTTTTGGGAGTGCCACTTGACTATTTAAAGATGGTATATAAATCTTTTTTGTTTTTTTGTTTTTTAACGTAACCAATGGTTCTTTTTGAGAATCAGCATGGTATAGAGATTAAGATTCTGGACTAGAAGACTGACATTCTAGTCTTGTCTTAGCCACAGAAGCCAGCTTGGTGACTTCCTCTCAGCACAAATCAGCATCAGGATCTGTGACAAGGTGGCCAGTAAACAAGCCTCCTTGTCATACCATGCATTGATAGCTTCACTATAAAAAATTAGGCGAGTTCAGGGTAAAAACTTGAACCCTACAACCATGTGAGGCAAACACTAAGAAAAACTTTTTTTAATTACTGAGAATTAATTTTCCTATGTTGGTATTGGCAGGAAGCACATATATGTTGTTTACTGCCTTTCTTTTTTAGAGTATAATTGGTTTTGATCTGAATTGTACAGGTAAGTAGCATATGTACAAAGATCTCTTGCGTTAAAAAAACATCTTGAACATCTTTGTGTGAATTTTTGGTAATTATTCTGTATAGTTAGTTCCAAGTAGCCTTATCCAACATGTAGCCTTCCCAGATATGTGAATTCCAACTCCAGAATTCTCAGCAATGTATGGTCTTACTGGCTAAGAATTCTATATATTTAGAAGGCAGAACAGGGCAGAATTTTAGCGGTATAAATTGACATAGCACATGCCTAAATTATAGTTTTAATTTTTGTTTTAAGGACAGTGATATTCATAAATAAATATGTTGCCTTTGTTGTAAATGTTGTGGTTAACTCCACTGATGGAGATTATTTATTTATTTATTTATTTTACATAGCTGCCCATCTCAAATATGTGACTGGGCAGTGTATAATAAAAAAACCAAGTAACCAATTATAAAGAATATGATACAACAATTAAAAATGTTAAACCGTTTAAAATGTTTAAAATACAGCAAACAAGAATCGGTGGGACTGCAACATAAACAAAAGGAAGTGAAAATGAAGCTAAAGGACATTAGAATTCAAGTAGACAAACACCTGCCACAACAGATTTAACAACTGTTGATAAAAAATATGTAAAAGTCTGGATAGTGAACATGGTAGTACCTGGAGACACCAGAATAGAGGAGAAATAAGTGAAGAAAAACACAAAATAAAAAAACACCTGCATATAGAAGTAGAACAGTGGTGGCAAAATACTACCAATAGTGAATGATGTCTTGGGTACCATCCCAAAACATCTGCAGCAGCACTTGAACACCATCAGCACTGAAAAAATCCCCATCGGTCGATTACAAAAGGCAGCTTCACTTGGAACAGCTTGCATCCTGCACCAATACCTTTAAAACCACCAAGATCCACACCTGCCTATCGCAGGTCCTTGGGAAAGACTGAATTAATGGATAAAAATGCCAAATCCAGCCATAGTAATTTTTATATTATATACTGGATATTTTCATATATATAATGTTTCTTTCATACTTAAACTAATGTCACTGTACTAGATTGTCTAGTATAATTTTTTAAATTATTGCTAATAGGAACTAACAAAAGTCAGTACTCAGTTGGATCAAGTTGCTTCCAAGTTGCACGACAAAGGAGAATACTGTATACAGCTGGAATCCAGTCTTAAAGAGTACAAAGAAAAGCACCTTAATTTAGAACAAAAAACAGAAGAGCTGGAAGGTCATCATAAGGTTTGTATTTTCTTTTAATTCATATTTCCAATTGTGGCTGGTGTCCATATGGAGAGGCGATGAGAAAGGTACAACAGCTGATGCAAAGCATAGTCATTATTAAATATGAAATGAGCAGCTCAAACAGGAACTGATTTTACATAGAAGCAGATAGGAAAATCTTAAGGTCAAGTCAAGAAAAGTCAAATCATTTTAACTGTGGAAAATGTGAAAGAGAAGCTAAAGATTTGTGTTTTTCTGATCCTTGCTATAACACAAAAGCACCAGTTATGTTTTTGGTCCATAGCAGCAATCTTTAGATCATAGATATCACAGACAATTCTTGCTACCCTCTGCTGGTTCCTGTTTGTATAGCTGTTTTCATTTTGCATTGGAACTGTGACTAACATAATTTTTTAGAATTATAAAAAATGTATGTTTCTCTGCCTAACTCTTTCCATATAAAACATTCTGATCACCTACATCTTCACCAAATGCCTAGATATGAACCTTGCACCACTGAGAGATTTTTATCTTTTTATTTCAACCATACTGTAGAAATAACAGAATTGCAAGAAATAGAAATTAAGGGAAATAGCAGACCTGAGATTGTATAGGAGAAGAAAGATGACAAGTATTGGCAAAACGAAGACTAGAAAAAAGGCAATAATATATTTTAGTCATTGAGAAATAAAGATGCACTCAGTAAAACAAACAAAGGAAAGTTAATCCATCAATGACTGTTGGCAACCATTAGTAGGTGAAGCTTGCGCATAATGAAGCAGAATTTTGCTTTTAGAAAGAGAGATTTATCCTTGTTGTTGATAACAATAGAGTATTGTTATCTTCTAATGAACATTGTAGTGTTGAGGAAATATTTAATTATTATACTGTTCAAGCTAGTAACAAACTTAAGAAGGTGCAGCACTTGTGTACTCTTTGAGTTCTGTAGACATTCAGTTCATAAAGGACCAAATTTAAGGGATAAGGCATGTGTTATGTGCTGGAAGCTCATAAGAGTCTGGGGTAAGTGCATATTTGTGCCTGTTCTTTGCTTCCTTCTACACTGAGGTTGACTTGTTCATCAGGCAGACTCTGTTAACAATAAGTCATATTTCTAATAGTCCACTGATCAACAAAAGACTATATTTGTTTTTGTCTGCCTGGATAATCAAACTCAAAACAGTAGGAACAAAAAGGGAGAATATTTGCTTCTGATCCCTTTACCAAAGCAGTTTAAATTGTTCTTTAATAGTTTAAAGTTTAAAAAATTCCTAGTTCTAATGATAGGGAAAATGTGTGTAGTTTGTAACCATAGTAATAACTGCTACTACTGTTACTACTGTTACTGGATGAGGAAAACTAGAAAATAAATTTCTATATTCAATCAGACATCTATCAACTTCATACTAAGAGAAGCTTTATAATCAGGAAAAATGTTTTTACGGACATTGAAGTTAATAGAACAACAATTAAATAATGAGATTTGAAATTGCAAAAGAGTATCAGCAACCAGTTTGACAAAACATTTGAAATGCAAGAAAGACAAAGATTGCTTCATTTGAAATTTGTACATACATTTAAATGATATTTGTGTGACGCAAACAAGCATGCACGCATACCCAATAAATAATGACAAAAACAATCAAAAGACTAAGTACAACTCTGCAAAATAGAGAATAACAATAAATAAACAAAAATAACAATAGAGCTAAGTTATAAAATTAGAGTAGAAATAAAATAAAAAATTAAAAGATATTAGTAATCTACAAAAATTTAAATTAAAAAAATCTGAAGATTAGGTGTGGGGCTAAAAAAATAGCCACTGGAGAAATACCCACTGCAAATGAAATTAGACTCAGAAAAAGGAAAATGATTACTGTTAGCACATTTAGTTTTGAGGTTCTCCAAAGGTTTACAGGAGATAAGCATATAACAATTGTGCTTGGCCTTGACCCTGAATATTGAGGACATTCTCCATTTGGATTTTGTTTCAAATTCAAAGATCAAACTTGCTGAGGGTTAATGCTTGGCAAAATATGTTGTATCATATTAATAAGTATACAGAATCAGAGTCAAAGCTATGTTTCTATAATTACAGTTAACTGGAGAAATTAGTTTCAGTGAACCTGTTGTAGTTTCTTCATGAACCAAAGGACTGATTGGTGAGATGATGTTTTTTTACTTAATAATTTTATACAAAGTGGTTTTTTTTGAAATACTGTGCAATCTGAGCATTTGGTCATATTTTGTAGTGATTGTCAACTGGTGTTGCTTTTGACATACGCTATAACTAAATTTTTATCCAGAAGAGATGACTGGATATAAGGATACCGTCTCTGAAAATTTAGAGGAGGATAGGATAAGAAAGGTGGAATGTTGTGAATTCCTATTGTTTTAGACTCTACAGAGGCCAGTTTGACCCATGCAGAATGAAATATTTTGACAGTCCGTATTCAGAGAAGGTAAGTAAAGCTACAGTGGGTTAAAGTAATCTCCTTTCTGTTATCATTATATCATTATCATTTTGTTGTAATTATTTGCTTTCTAAAAATTATCATTACAGAAACTTGAAACTGATCTTTTTGAAGTTTTGGGACAAAAAGAAAAGGCTCTTCAAGAACTAGAGCAGCAAAGAAAACAGTGCACGGAGTTGAACCTCAAAGCTGCAGAACTGAGCAAACAGTTAGAAGAAGAGAGAGAAATGTATGTTAAATTATCTAAATGTGCCGCTTTTACCTGTATCCACATTTTAAAAAGTGTCAGAGTTTCTAATTTTCTAGCATCTTTTTTTCTTTTGTACTCTGTTGCCTTATTGGAGTTGGAATTAACTTTTTGCTTAAATCTGCGTGGAATTATACATGTTTGGCTATATACCTATTTTAAATAAATAAAAAATGTTTTTTGCATTGTTAGTATGTAATAATTAATTTTTAATTTTACTACATTTTTCGGCCTCTCATCTCCCCTACAGGGTGACTGGGTGACTTCAGTAATAATATTCAGTGTTCAGTAATAATACTGAAATAGTGGCATTGATTTTACAGAGCAAAGCATAGGAAGTTTGTTGAAGAATTGAAAAGTGTTATATAAAAGTTAATGCTCAATCATGTAATCTTGAACTTGAAATAATTTCATTTTTATATGTTGTGTTTATATAGGATATCTAGAGCCAAATTAGACTTACAGAAAAAAAATGATACATTAGAAGAAGTAAGTCAACAAAGATTAAAGCAAGAAGAAGAAAATGAAAAACTAAAGTTAGAAATTGAGAAATTAAATCAAGATAAATTGAAGTATCACAGGGAATTAGATGGAAAGTTGCAAACATTAACGGATGAGTTGAAGAAAATGAAGCTCGAAAAAGATACTCTATTAAAGGAATTTGAAATCCTCAAAAGTAAACTGTCAAACAGCAATGAATCTTTGGAAGAAGCAAAGAATGCATTGGAGAAAGAGAAAGAGAGAGGAAAGGCAACCGTGGCTGAAATTGTGAGTCCTGAATTTTAAATAAAAGTATTTTCTATGTAATCAATATACATATGCAGTTTGCAGGTTACCAGTGAAAATTCAAAGCAATATGTTAGTGGTGATGGCATTGACTATGGAAAATATTGAAAAAATACTTAACTGACCATTTTGCTTATTATCTTGGTGCCTAAACGCGTAGCTTGTTTTGAAAAGAAAATGTTATTATTGCTTAATAGCTTGGTAAAACCTCATGTTCTTTAAACATAATAACTTTTGCTTCACTGTCTCATAATTTTTCTTTTAAAAACATACTGATTAGATTTTGTATTTATTAGATCTATTTGGTTTCAAATGTGCTGTGAGTTCTTCAAACTAATTGAAAATATATTAGGGTTCATTAGTAATATTTGTAATGTATTTTAGTAATTTAACAGAAAATTCTTATTAAATATTCCTTTTTATACAGGAAAAATCTTGTCAAGAAGCTAGACATCAACTTCAATTACAGTCGGAATCTATAGCTAAAGAACAGAATGAACTGAAAAACTTACTGGAAAAACAAGATGGGGTAATGTTAATTGTTTACCATAAGCATGACTCCTATGGCATTCAGATACAAGTAGTCCTAGACTTATGACCACAATTGACTCCAAAATTTCTGTTGCTAAGTGAGACATTTGTTAAATGAGTTTTGCCCCATTTTAAAACCTTTGTAGCCACAATTGTTAAGTAAATCATTATAGTTGTTAAGTTAGTAACACAGTTATTAAGTGAATCTGGCTTCCTCATTGACTTTGCATGTCAGAAGGTTGCAAAAGGTGATCACATGGCTCTGGGACACTGTAAGTGTCCTAAATTTGAACCAGTTGCCCTGCATCTGAATTTTGATCATGTGACCGTGGGGATGCTGCAAGGACTGTAAGTGTGAAAAACGGTCATAAGTCACTTTTTCATAAGTCACTTCAAACGGTCACTAAATGAACTGTTGTAGGTGAAGGACTGCCTGTAGTAGTTGCTAGACTCAGAACTTTGTGGAAAGGAAGAATTAATTTTCTCTTAACTCTATATGAATTATTGCTGTGGGATTAAATTATTTAGTATGTGTATAAGAAATGTGTGGAGTTTCATTGAAAAATGTGTACTTAGTATTAATAAAAATAAAGTAGTAACATGAGAAAAAAAATGAAATTTTCTATCAATGGTGTTGAAGTAGTACTACATTTCGATATTTAGATATCCAAACAGCTAGCAGCAGAGCTTGATTTGGCACGTGTACAAGTCCTGCAGCTTCAGGGTTTTCTCAAAGACAAAGAAAAAAATGAACAACAGCTCCAATTAAAGGTAAAAGAATTGAAGGAATCTTTTGACCAGAAGAAAAAACAAAATGAGATACAACAAGCTGAATTAAAAACAGCCCTATTAGAAAAGGTAAATTCATATAATCTTTCAGTAACATTATGTTATATGCTGTTATATAACATTATATTGTTATGTCTGATGTAAGATATTTTGTTGCTTCATAATAATAACAATTTTTGGCTGATGCTGTGGCATCATATCAACAGCATGATCTGTGGAGGCATTACTCTCTCCATGTATCATTTATAGGCATATGAAATAATTCTCCTAAGGGAGGTCTATTAACATTTTTACTGTGTTGTTATACATGGAAAATAATTTGGTGCTCAGTGGCAAATATGAGTTTAAATGAAATACTAGTAAATTATGGAAACGTAAGCATTCTTTAGGCCAACTTTTTATTATTACTTATTTATTAATATCACTGGAATGATAACAAAATAGATTTTGATTTTTTTCTTCAATAATTGAATACAAATAGTAAGTGTTCATTCTAATTTGCATATAAATTAGACAAAAGTAATATTTAGCTTTCTAGCATATAAAGTTTGTGTCTGCTTTTGTTCACCCATAGATTCATTAGATTATAGAATTTGGTCAGGGCTTCCCAAACTTTTGAATGCAATGGTATTTATATATGACCTTGTTATCTGTTTTCTCAATTACCTTGCTGTGCATAAGAGAAATATATCTTGTCCATGTATGTATTAGGCAGAACTGGAAAATAAATTGCAGCAGCAAATAACATTATCAGAACAAGTCCTTGGTACACAGAAGGAAAAAATAATAGAACTGCAGAAATCCCATAAAAAAGTTCAAGAAAACATGGAAAAACTTCAACTAGATATTTATGGTAAAGAATCTGAAATCTTGGCTATACGGCAAGACCTTAAGGTATATGACTTTGTTTTGAGACTGCACATGTTTCTCTCAATATATGCTTTGTGTAAGTTAAAGGATTCTTTTGGTTAGGACTTAAATGAACAGTTGAAGCTAACAACATATTTAAAAAAAGAATCCTTGTACTTCATTTTTTTTCTAGTCAACTGTATGTAGGCTATTTTATTTTTCCTTGTCCCATGTTTTCTATTTTTTTTCTGTAATCAAAATATTCAGTCCTTATTAAAATATGTTAGCTTCAGAATGGGACAACTCGCCTCAGCAAACTTGCTATGGCCAACTTTCCACGGTCAACTCTCCACAACCACTTACAGTCATGCTTACCTAAAAAAAGTAGTACATGGGGGAATATAACTTTAAAATAAGCAGGATGAAATGTGTCTTGGAGTGATACTATATGACTATATGAAGTGTTTAAAAATATTTTTGAGGCAGGTGTCAGAAAAAAAATAAGACATACCCCAAAAGTAAGATCTACAGGTAATCCCTGAGTTACGAGTGTTCCCTTAGCGAACGTTCGAAGTTACATGATAAGCGCCCCCTATGTTTATGAAAAAGTCCCTTAATTACAAATGTTGCTGCACCACGGCAGTCATTCAACCTTATGAACGACCACAGTGGCACTGCAACATTCACCCTGGCTATTCCCTCCCTCCCTCCCTCCCCGGGTCTCCCTAGGCACTAGGCCTTGGATACTCACCTGGCAAAGATCAAGATCCTTTGCTTTCTTGGCTGCTCCAGGCCTTTGGTGTATTTGCAGAGAATGGAGGCCTAAAGTAAAGGAAGATCACGCGAGATCTCATGCTACTGATCTCGTGTGATCTCATGGTGGTTTTTGGCCTCTGTTCTCTGCAACAGAGAATGGAACTGAAGCCAGGGGAGGCTTCTGCATGCCTCCAGAGGCCCGATCTGGGCATTGGGGGCTTTTCTGGGCTGCTGCCACCTGGGAAGGGAGGCTTCCGCGGTCCTCCGGAGGCCCTTATAGATAAGGAGACTTTGATTTAAGTATATGAAAACCTTGATGTATTGTGGATTCAAAAATAAATTCTGGTAGGTTTTTCTAGGAAGCACTTGGTTTAAAACAATATTTCTGCTACAGTGTTCATTGCATTGTGATACTGGTTAATTGTGCATGAATTGGAGCAATAATGAATTCCAAGAAATAACTAAGTTTCTCCTGCAATTTCCTTGATTAGTTATTCTTTTGTTAAACTGTTGTTTGTTACTTAAATAAGGACCTGGTAGAAATTAAATTGTTGGAGCAAAGAGTATAATGTCTTCTGGTCCTCTTGACATATTTTTTCTTATCTCATTTATAAACTCTCATCCTGCATCAGTTCATCCATCACTCCTTTACTGTCTAAAATATGGGTATCCAATCCTTTGGCTTACCTGGGCTTCATTGAGTGAAGAGGAATTGTCTTGGGCTGCATATAAAATATATAATATAATTAATGTATATAAATCACATAATAATGTTAAAAGTTTATGATTTTGTGAGGCCAGATCACTAGCTTTCCAAAGCTTCATGCGGCCCAAGGGCCATGGTTGGAAACACCTAATATAGGAGAGAAGTATGTTGGGAAAATATACTTTCTGTTTGGTGTGCATGGCGGATTAATACAAGAATAAATAATTTATTGTGTAACCCATAGCTCAGTTTCACCGATCAGAATGATAAAGAATTAGACTGAGAGTGAGTGGCCCAAAGTCACCCTGATGGTTTTTCATGTCTAAGTTGAGACTAGAACTCACAGTTTCTTGGTTTCTAGGCTGACACCTTAATCACTACATCAGACTAGCTCCATTTTCAAGAATTTCATTGTATTTTACTGATGGCAGATGATCTAGGAACCTGTGATTACAGGGAGGGTTTTCAAAAGTCTCAAGTGATTAAATGAAAGAAAAAAAAACCATTAGTGCAGCAATTTTTTTCATCCATTGCTTGTAGTTGTATTTTTGTGGATCATTTTTGTCAGCTGAAGTGACATATTCTTCTAATATTTTGCTAGCAAACCTTCACTATAATTCATACAGATGATTCATCTTTCATCTAAAAAAACATTGTCAGTTGTAACTCATGAAGTAGCTCTGGAATGTTAGTGATTCTTTGCTTTCTATTTAGAGCACAGAAGAGAAGCTAGCTTTGGCTCAAGAAGAATTGATTTCTAATAGAAATCAAATTAGTAATCATAATCAATTGATCAAAGAACTTAAGACTATAAGATCTACACTGGAACAGGATGGGTCCAAAAAAGAACAGCAACTGAAAGAACAAGAGAGGTTGTTACAGGAAATACAAAAAGATAAGGTAATGTATTTTTAATCCTTTGAACTATATATAGTATGAATAGAATAATATATCTACATCTACAGTATAAGTAGAAAAAATACCTTTCCTTTGGTTGTTGAAGTTGGAAGGGAGAGATCATGATACAATACTAATTGTAATATATTCATGTAATATAGAGTACTCAAGTATTAATAGCATCTTGAAAGATGATTTTCTTAGCTATTAAGAATAGAATACTTTATTGGCCAACTGTGATTAAACACAGAAGGAATTTGTCTCAGGTGCATAAGCTCTCAATGTATGTGCAAAATAACAAAATAATAACAGTCATAATATCAAAGTAATAATCATAAAGATGATACCAATAAGAGAAGGTAATGGAACAAATGAGAAGGATAAAAGTAATACAGCCATACTGCATGGGTAAATATACTTAGCATCAATTCAGCAAGTACTTCTTTATCCCCCAGGCCCCAATTGTATCAACTGCATAATTATCTTTTTTTTGCGTCAAGAGATTTAGTTCTCTAGTCTCAAAGCAACAAATAGAAACATAGTATCTTTGAAATTTAATTCAATAAATTATACAACATAAATAGCTAGGTTTATCCATATGAAATAATCAAATTTACCTCTTGGAAGAAGAAGTATAGAATCTTCATTAAAAGAATAAATTAAGAGATAATATTGGGATTAGTGGAAAATATAATTCATTGATTTTATTTGAATGAATGCTGTTCATTGAAAGTAGTATCTCCTTTTTGAGTAAATATGCATATTTATTAAGGAAGTATATACTTGTTGACTTTTTCTGAAGGATTTAAAAGAAAAAGATTTGTTTAATGAAAAATCGAAAACCTTGGAACTCTATAACATCAATTGCAAACAGGAAGAAGAAAATGTGAAACTGAGGGATGAAATTAGATTCTGCAAACAAGAGTTTGAGAAGGTATGTAAAGTCATAAACATTCCAGGTTTATCAGAATTATATTGTATAAGGCTTTGGAAAATGTGCATTAACATTGTTCCAGAATTGCGCTGTAAGGCAGCTGACCTGCACTGAGGTGCAATCTTGGTTTTGAGATGAGCTTTTTTAACCTCCAGTTTTGATAAGTATTTTTTCAGCTCCGATGAATTCTTTCCTGCCTAAGCTTGCAAATTTCTTAGTTGCTTGTTCATTTGTTTGTTTATGTAAAGCATTTATAGGCTGCTCTACTCAAAACCATTTGACTATGAGTAGCATAATAAACCAGTAAAAAGATAACAAAAACATAATAAGCAATACCAACTGAAAGTAAATATTAACAATTAATTGGCAATTCGGAATGATGTTCATTACACTCTTCTAAACTGGAGCTCTAATCATATTGACCACAAAACCTAAGCGTGCTCATAGGTTTTCACTCCCTCTCTTGAGGGATGTGCAAGATTGGGGCCAACTGTATGCCGTGGGAAAGAGGGAAGAGGTCATTTAAGAAGGTAGGCACCTCCACAGAAAAGGCACACTGCCTCGATGTCAAAAGGTGACATTGTTTCAGGGAGAAAACCAATGGCATGCCCACCCTTGAAAAAGGCATTTCTGCCAGTAACTCAGTTCTGTGACATCTAGCGTGGTTTATTTTTTTGTGTGTGTGATAATGTGCACCTTGGAAAACTGTAAGAAACCAGTGTATCTCATAATCTAATGCTGACTAGTCAGCACAACTTTATTTTTTAATTGATTTTCTAATTAATCTTCAAAGGCAGTATAGAGTGCATTGCAATATCCAACTGAGAGATGAATAACTTCAAGCAAGGCCTTACAGTCTAGGAATAGTTGCGATAAGTGCAAAGATGAAATTCTGCAAAGGGAAAGGCCTTATATTTTCAAGTATTGTTCATTAACATAATATAACTCATTCATATATTAGTTTAATTGAATTATTTTTGTTTTTTTAATAGGAGATATCAAATCAAAAAGATGCCAAACAGCTGTTGATTAAACAGAAACTAGAATTACAGGAAAAGGTTGATAATTTTAGTATAGCTATGGAGCAAGAGAAGAAAAACCAGGAAGTCATGAAAGATCAGTGGAAGAAGAAAGAAGGGGAACTGAAGAAGAAATGTGCTGAGATAGAAGCAAAACTGGTCAGTATTTTTTAGAAACAAATCCAGAGGTGTATCTCCATAATGAGTAAAGTGATTCATGGAATGATTTGCACAGCCAAAATGCTTAATTTTGATGATAAATGCAGAGATTCCAGTATTCCTTTTTTTTCTTATTTTTTATATTACAGCCAATGAGTAAAAAGCAAAATTGCTTATAGAATATACTATTACGTTTTATTCACATTCATTTTAATCAAGCAATGTACAATCAGTACTTTATTTTATACATAAGGAGACTTTGATTTAAGTATATGAAAACCTTGATATGTTGTGGATTCAAAAATAAACTCTGGTAGGTTTTTCTAGGAAGCATTTGGTTTAAAACAATATTTCTGCTACAGTGTTCATTACATTGTGATACTGGTTAATTGTGCATGAATTGGAGCAATAATGAATTCCAAGAAATAACTAAGATTCTCCTGCAATTTCCTTGATTACTTACTTTTTCTGCAGTGTCCTGTGCTTTTTAAAAAAGCCTTGCTCTTTAATTGGGAAACTCTGAAACATTGTGGGAAGTGTTTGTTAAGGGTATAGAGCAGGGGTGTCAAACTGTTGGCCCGCGGGCCACACATGTCATCCAGAAGCCGGGCCCACTCCATTGCCGGCAATGGCAAAACCAGTCCGATACATTGCGCGATGTCATGTGACGTTGCGAGTTTGACATGTCTGGTATAGAGGAAAATCAATAAAATCAAGCTTTTTATCTTTAGCTAGTGAATATCTTTGTTGGATGAAATTCCTTCTGTTTGCTAACTGAGGTTCCAAGCCAGTATTTTCCCTACTAATTCATTTTTCTCTACAGAAATTTTTTTGAGGCTTTTCTTCAAAAATGTTATTTTCTTCCGAGAATGATACCTGAACAGATATTTGAGATGTTAGAAAGAGAATTGTTATATTGTTTCTCTTATTTTAGCAAGCTTTGATCAAGAAAAAAGATGAGCAGTGTAAAAGTCATGAAGAGGCTGAGTGTAAGCTCAATATGCAGATAACAGCACTGAATGAAAATCTAGGGACAGTGAAGAAAGAGTGGCAAAGCAGCCAAAGAAGGGTTAGTGAATTAGAAAAACAAATAGATGATCTGCGTGGAGAAATTGCAGTTCTTGAAGCCACTGTCCAAAACAATCAGGATGAGAGAAGAGTATTGCTGGAAAGGTAAATTGCTAAATAAGTTTTCAACTCGTTTATTTTAAATTAGGAAAGACATTTTTCCATTCTTTGATATAAGCTGAACTTTGTGTAATTTGGGCTAAATCAATTTTTCCCCACTTTTTAAAAAAATACTAAGGATTCCTATTAAGCTAAGTAAAACAGTAATGGCTAAATAACAGCTAAAATTCATAATCTTAGGATGAGCTTGACAATTATGTAAAATTCTAAACTTTGTATATTGCATGTTATGACTTTTATCTGTCAGTGTAATTTGATTTGTTACAACATTCTACTTGACTTTGAATAGCAAAATATCAACATACTCTTTGAAAATCTTAATGATCTCTCTTGTTAATCAAAATATGCATTGTTTTTGACTTTTGGTTGGAGCCAAGTTGAAACAGTTTTCCATAGCATAGTGGTAATAAAAGAATATTATGAATATCAAATTGATAGTACAGAAATTGATGGTTTAAATTAACAGGCTACTAATATACTATAGTATTACTTCAACTTGCAAAATATTTAGACTAAAGAAAGTTGTGGGGGCACAGTGGTTAAAATGAAGTATTGCAGACTGATTCTGTCCACTGCCAGGAGTTCGATCCTGACTGGCTCAACATTGACTCACCTTCCATTCTTCTGAGGTCAGTAAAATGAGGACCCAGATTGTTGGGGGCAATTTGACATTTGTAAACCACTCAGAGAGTGCTGTAAAGCACTATGGAGTGGTATATAAGTGCTATTGCTATTTCTTACTAATAGAAAGGATACTAAGTGATTTGTTTGTTTACTACATTCCACTTCTGCATTTGTTTCATTATAAAGAGAATAGATGATAGGTACCTGAGACTATGTTGAAATATTTCATCTCCATGGCAATTTCTGCATTCCTTGCTCAGTTAGCCATTTTTGTATAATAACAATTAACAAAAGGGACAGTGATCTAAGAACAGCTTAATACTATTTATTTATTCATGATAATTATCAGGATGATCCTATTATTCCCAGTTACAGTTTATGAATATGCTTCCCCATCCTTTGGCATTTAAAAGATTATTCACTTATTTACTATCGTCTTTACAGGTGCCTTAAAAGTGAAGGAGAAATTGAAAAGCTTCAAAGCAAACTCATTGATGCACGAAGAAAACTGGATGATACAACTGCAGCCATGCAGGAGCTAGGGAGAGAAAACCAGTCACTACAGGTATTTAATTTTATGCTGAAAGACAGTAATTGGTAACTTAATATTAGTATTATTGTTCATATTACATAGATAAGTAAGTAAGTAACATATGTGAACAAAATATGCAATCTGGTTGGGTTGGCTTCTACTGGTCTAACAGTGAGTGGCCTTGGATTTAGAATACTCTGAGTATGTGGAGTGGCAGGGGGAGAGGGAATGATTTTGAAGTTTCAATAGCCTTACTGAATTTTGATTACATAATTTTCATACAATTTGAAGTTTTGATTTAATCTATTTCTTAAATTTTGTATAGATTAAACATACGCAAGCATTAAATAGGAAATGGGCTGAAGACAATGAAGTTCAGAATTGCATGGCTTGTGGAAAAGGTTTCTCTGTAACAATAAGAAGGGTATGTATGTATGGGTATATATCATGAGGCTTATTTTCATAAAGTGAAATCACGTGTTAATAAGATTAATTTAAGAAGTAATCTCATATATCCTATTTTTCTGATAGTATAGGGTAAATTTATTCAAAATACTATATATATTTTCTTTTGGACACAGGGAGAAGTTTGCTAACAATGCCAAATTTCACTTGCTTTCAGTTAAACTGCTTAGCCTGAACAGTGACAAATTTCTCTCTTGTTAATATCCACTGCATGTATTCTAACTGGAAATACATGATTGTGACCTTGGAAATAAAAACATTTTATTAACAAACAAACATTTTAAACATATTTCATATATATTTTAACAAAATTAGCATAAGAATTTTTTCAGAAACTTGCTACTTAAAATGCTACATAGGAAAGATAAAATATTTCTTATTACTGTTGGGTTAAACTTTAAAAATAGGGTTGTTGCTTGGTTATTTTTGAATTATATCTGTTCACTGAAATGCACACCAATATGTATGTATATAGATATTTTATGCAGTCCAGTGTCATTCTAACTAAGAAATACATTGTTGGTAGAAAACCCGGAATATACTGACTGTTATGTTTTAAATTCATCCCATGCAATACACTTCTCTTTTTGTGACTAATTAGGTTAGTGACCATTCTCAAATACAATGGTAATAAATGGTAATCATTTTCTGAGGAATGTATCAAATTTTGCCTGATAGCAAAACCTTTGGTGTAAAACTGATTAAGGTCTGATCAGTTTCAGGCAGTAGTGGTGGGAGGGTTCTAATCAACTAATTAAGTTTATAGAACTATCACTTATTGTTACTTTTTAGGGAATTGTTGCACTGCTGAACAAAAGCAGGTCAGGAAGAGATAGTTTGTTTAACTAATTTCTTCACCATACAAGGGGGCAAAAAAAAACAAACGGCAGAGGAATCAGTGATCTTTACATCAGCTCTTTTGCTCTCTCATATATTCCCTAAGTGACCATTTTGTTTAATAACCAAGTCATTGGAGTGGAATATGGTCCCTGAATGAGGAGATGTGTACTTCTAAAAATAGTGTACTTGGTTTTTAACTACTCCACTGGTAATTCAGTGTTTTAAAACATTGTAGATTGGGTTGTGCAGTAGGCTCACTTTTACTTTCCTTGTAAACTATATTCAATTTATTATTTATCCTAAACCAGTGATGGCTAACCTTTTAGAGACTGAGTGCCCAAACCGCAACACAAAACCCACTTATTTATCACAAAGTGCCAGGGCCACATCAGCATTGTGGTGCCCGCGGGGGGTACGGGGGTGCGTGGCCCACTGGGTGGTCATGGCCTACTGAGTGGGCGTGGTGTGGGTGGGCATAACCAACTCGATGTTGCTAGTGGGGGGCCGCCTGTGGGGGCCGGGCAGGGTTGGTGGACATCCAGGGGGTCTCTGGCGGGTGGGGCAGTGGGCAGGAGGCTCATCCTGCAGAGTGAGGCGGGGCAGGGCAGGGGTGCCATTGGCGCAGGGCAAGGCTAGGCAGGGGCCGGGGTAGCTGCTACCTGACACCAGCAGCCCCCTCACACAGAGGCCAGGGAGCACATGGGGACCGATGGTGTCCATCAGCAGCCACAGCCTGCCGGCCCCTTGACCAGTGCACTCTGGGGCTCTGCCTTCCAGCAGAAGGTGGCGTAGGGAAGGGGGGAGGCACATGATGCAGACAGCCGGATGTGCCTACTCGTCCCATCTGTTTTTGCTTGCAGTTGGAGAGCAGGTCGCTGCTGGTCATCTCCTTGGCCCCCTCACAGATCTTGCCCTTGGCCCATGCGTGGAGCATGTTCCCTTTGCGCACCCAACACATCTGGGCCCTGCCTCGGGCTGGCGCTGCCAGCAGCTCAAACAGGTCCATTAGGCTGCCGCCACCGCCCAGAGCGCCTGGTCTGCCCAGCATAAAGGAGGCAAAGCGGCTGGCTAGCAAGCTCGAGTAGAGGTGGTAGAGTACGTCCATGCCCAGCAAGCCAAAGGACACCCCGAGCGGGGAAAGCCGGATCCCCATCGGCGCCATGACCCCCCAGTCCCAGCTAGGATTGCGTGCCTCCCCCCATCTCTGCTGGGCCTCCTCACTCGGTACCTACCATGGCCGCCAGCCGCTCGCGCAGGTCCATTAGGCCGCCGCCCAGTGCTGCAGGCCTGCCCAGCACGAAGGAGGCGAAGCGGTTGGCTAGGAAGCCCTGCGTAGAGGTGGTAGAGCTCGCCCAGGGCCAGCAGGCAGAGATGGGGGGGAGGCACACAATCCTAGCTGGGACTGGAGGGCCATGTCGCCAGTGGGGATCCGGCTTTCCCCACTTGAGCTGGCCTTTGGCTTGCTGGGTGTGGGCGTGTTCTACCACTTCTACTTGAGCTTGCAAGCCGGCCGCTTCGCCTCCTTTGTGCTGGGCAGGGCTGCTGCTCCAGGCGGCGGTGGCCTAATGGACCTGCGCGAGCTGCTGGTGGCGGTGGCACGCATGCCCACAGAGAGGGCTCTGAATGCTACCTCTGGCACGTGTGCCATAGGTTCGCCACCAATGTCCTAAACCATAGCTAATTATTGCATCAGAAATATCCATGTATGGTTTTATGTTTGATGTTTAGTCTTGATTTGAAAAGCAAGCACTAAAGCTTTAATGTGATGCGATTTAACTAATTTTGACTTAATGTGTTATTTAAATATAGACAATGAAGCTTAACAAAGCATGATTCATTTCTTAGTTTAGGAACAGAGACTCTTTCAGAGTGAGATGAGTGGCATATAAATTTAATAAATAATAATACTAAATAAACTCAGACACTCTTGACTTGTTCAATAACCAAATATTAGCTTATATTTTAGTATTGGTGTATGAGCCAAGTCTAAACAATTAAGTATTGGAGTAACATTTATGTAATACCAAGCTATAGAGTTTGAGCTTATATATACCATGTGTTCATAACTTTTTTTGTTTTTGTTTTGCAGCACCATTGCAGACAGTGTGGAAATATTTTCTGTGCTGAGTGTTCCTCAAAGAATGCCTTAACTCCTTCCTCTAAGAAACCCGTTCGTGTCTGTGATACCTGTTTCAATGATCTACAAGGATAATTACTCACAACTCTTACATGTTATGCTAGAGTAAAATTTCTGTTATGCACTTAGTACAATACTCAGACTACTATTTTGGGTGGGCACTGATTGTAACAATTGACAAAATTATAGTATAGTGTTTAACTGGTAACGTCAAACAATTGTACTTCTTGTGAAGTTGAAATTATCTGTGACTTACTTGGTTTTGGTCAAAGAGAGCTTCTGTGTCAAGTTTATAAGTCTCCAATGACTTGTAAATAAAATTAAAATAGAGGAATTACAATGTATTTTTTTATCCTAATTTGTTTGTTCAAAAACAACCCCTTTAAACAATTTTGCAGGGATTTTGTGTTTCAATTATTGCTGCATAAGTATAACTTAATGATTCTTCAGAAATGTATAAGGTATTAATAGCCTCAAATAAGCAGCTTTTCATGTCTATTGTTTTTTTTCCTCTTTTTTCTTCTTAATTTTTTACTGTGAGTTCCTTTTTATGATTATGTCTAATTAGTGGAAGCTGCCTTGAACTCTCAAGATTGTCAAGCTGTTTTTCTATAGTATCACTGTACAATATATGTTACAGATAATGAAAAGCAATCCCAATACTATAGTGTAGATCTGATATTTCTTCTCTAAGGATATGCTGCATCCTGTTGAAAATAGTTGGGCTACATCATCTTTGATATGCAAATTCTTATGCTCCTTTACATTTCTTTGTACTATTCAAATATGTTTGCACTGTTCTCTCAAATATTGCCTGGAAGATCCAAGCATAGCAAATTCTGGTACTGAAAGATACATAGTTATGATAATTATTATTTTATAACTCCACCATTTTCAAGGTGCATGTTCCCCATTTTAATTAGTATTACAAATCTTTGTCCTCCTTAAAATTTGGAATGAAACTCAGCACTGGTAAAGATTGAAGAGAAACCTAAATTCTCAGTAGTTTCTCTTGTTTTATGTTAATTAAGTTAATTAACAATCTCTCTAATTATGGAGTTTATTAAACAGTAATGTCATATTTTATTCATCTGAAAATTAGTTAAAATTACTGTTTTGAAACTAATAGATGGATAACAAATGTTTGTTTCAGTTGAGATTGGGATATACATACACTACTATGCACATTGTGCTGGTATAAAATAATGCACTGGTAAAATCTAGTTTAGTAAAATATAGTTATTAGTAAAATGTAAGGTGATATTTAAAATCATTTTTTGGGGATTTGTAACCTATTTGCATGGGAGATGAGTGCAGTTGTAGACATAGAAATGAATATGGAAGTAGAAAAAAAGTAACACAGGTAGTTTAATAAAGATATATGGATAGAGAGGGCTTTCCGTGTAGAAGATTCTAGTTCTACTGCTTGTATCTCCAAATAATGAAATCACAGGTACTAGGGCTTACACACTTTTTTTTCTTGTCTGAAATCTTGGAGGAAAAAATAGTTGTGGACTATACAATGGATTGATAGATCAAAAGTCTTAAAGATTATGAGTCAGTATGAGGTAAAAATGTCCAAATGGTCAAATATGAGTATAACGTATAGAGGTCAAATCTTCTAAGTCAGCTATTCATAGAGTCTACAATAGAAATATAGTTCAGATGCTATCCAGCTGTTTTATTCACTACTATTACTTTAATCTAAATTGGAAAAAGATAAAGTTTGAAGTATTCATGATAGGAACTGAATTTTATTGGGGCTATCTTCTAATTTATCTTAATTGATTAATTATATATGTAACTCTTCATCTCATAAATTAACATATAAAGAAATTGATTCAGAAGGGGGAAGTAATATTTTTTAAGATGATGCTTGTATGGGTTGTAGCAGGTGTCATTTTGGAAATGGCTTCCTATATATAAGATAAGGTGGAATTGTTTTCCAAGGTTGTATCTGCCATTTGCATTTTTTTCTAAGTATTTTTAAAAGAATATTAAAAACAAGCAAACTATCTGCTCCTCATTTAAGTGGGAATTTGATTTCATTGCAGTCCCTAGATGTTTTACATACATTAACACGCACATGGATAAAGTTCAGCTTGTCCAGAGAAAGGAAATGAGGTTGATCTGATAGTTTAAAAATTGAAAACTCAGGAAGAGCAAGGTATTGCATTGTCACTTGCACTATGCACTTTTTAGTGTAACCAACACTATATGCAAGAGAAGGAACAAATGTTTGCAAGAAGTGATGTAGTAATTGGTCTACAAAATTGTACATTCTTAATTAAGTGCTCATTCAATTCCCTAGTAATTTCATATTGTGTTTAGGAATATTATGTCCATAATTTCTATGGACAGAGGATATATATTTTAGTATACATAGTGTATGCTAAAGAACTTTGCATTTTCTTTAAAAGCACTGCTTGATTTTAAGAATAGAAAAAGTAGACTTGGCAATTTTGCACATTTCATGTTCTCAGTGGCTTTCATTGTTCCTATATAAACATTTGTTATTAAATTACATTAAAATTTATTTAGATGATCTATTTCCAGGTCATAGCAATAAACAGAAAAGGAAATTCCCTACTTAAGAACAGAAATGTTAGTATTTGTATTGTTTCTTTAAAACTTAGAAGTGGTATATTTTCACAGTTTCTATTTAGCATTTAAAAAATGAATAAAGCTGTCCTTATTTAACATTAACTGCTCTGCCTCAGTATGGAATTGTTTGATAGCAGGCACACAGGAAAACAGTCATGAGAAAAGTAGTTTGTGTGGTAGACAACACCATTCAGCAGAGATTTGTTTTTCTGCTGTGATCTCTTTAAAACCCATATGAATAAGATTTGTTATTGGCGTTTTGAATTTATAAATTTCAAATACAGTATATGTTGTTGATTAGTGTGGCAGATTTGAATAACTTTCATGCCACCTACATTGTAATATGTGGTTAAATCCAAACTCTTTGCACCAAAGAGAAAGAAAAAAATATTGTTACATCAGGTTAATACACAAAGAAACATTTTGTAATAGAAATCTATCCAAAATGCTGCTTGTATAGGATTTATCACTTTTGTAATAAAATTATTTTAAAAACACACAAAAAGCCCAGTTGAAGAATGCCACTATGTAAGATTTCATTTTAACTACCTCTTGATATAAAACTCAAGTTGAGCCCATTTTAAAATGGTTCCCTCACTACGATGTTAGGTTTGATTTGTGATTACTGCCAAATTTTAAAACATTTTGATTCACCAAAAATGTAATATTTCAATATGTGTGCTTATGTAACTTACAGTTATTATGAATCGATACTCTTTTGGTTCTACAAACCTATAGGTGTTGGAGAAAAATTAAATTATACAACTGTTCCTAATTATAATGTTTGATCTATATCAGCTGTATGTGTCACATTGGCTGCTGTTAATATTTACATGTCATTAAGTTAGCCTCTATTTCCAGTGCTTTTGACAAGAAATTGAAAAATGCTATTATGCTATAATGGAAGTGTGCCACAAATTGTATTGTCCTATTGGCCTCTTTTTAACTATTGGCTTATTATGGTTGCAGATGTGAATATTGTGCATAATGTTTATTGGGTGGGGTCTGTATATTGTATAAATTAGACTTGAAGAATTTCTGTGCTTATCTTAAATTACAGATGTATTAAGGTAGCTTTATCTACATAAGATTGCACTTCTTTTTCAAGTGGATCCTTACATTCACATTATCTTTAGATAGTCTTGCATGGCAATTTTTATCAGGTGGATTCTCTTAAGTCCTTCTTTGAGTGGTGTGTTTATGACTTGTAGTCATGTAGTCGTGCCTTATAATGTTAAAGAGTTTAGTTCAGTATGCACTGTAATTCCTAAACTCTGCATTTGGAAAGTGATGGAAGCTGAGTAGTAAGAAAAATGACACCATGCAATCACTAATTCTGTATGAAACCCATGGGTGGATACTTATGGAAATATTACTTTTGTATTCTATTATTGGGCTGAAAATAAAATTAGAAATTTTTAATAGACCATTCGCAATTACTGTTTTGGTGCCCTTTTGCTGGTATGGAAAGTTATCTACTATATATGTCAAACCTATTCATCTCCAATTCACATATTAGTAGAATGCTTCAACTATTTCATATTTTGGCTATGGCAAGATTGAATTTCTTTCTTTATTCCATATAATTATATTGCTATTTTAAGTGATTATCATTTTCCCTGAGTTCTTTGAATTTAATAGTTTGTCTAAAAATTTCAATCTCTGTGTTACTGAAACTCTTGTGTCTTGTAGACTTTAACTGGATGCAACAGTGCATTATAGGGCAACATTTTTTGAACCAAGGTACCTCAAACTTATTTGAGGTAAGTTATTTATTTATCATTATTTATCAAATTTATTTGCTGCCCATCTTGCGGATCAGATGACTTACTTTGCATCCAGAGTCTGGGACCCATGACTTCTCTGGGATTGAAATTTGGCAAATTTATAGTCACTTCAATGCTGCTTGGAGTTTCAGTACATCAGTTCTGCCCTAGCCTTCTGCAGGTCATATAGACCAGTCCCATCATCAACTGCTAAAGAGCAGTCAGCTGTGTTTAAGCTGCCAGGAAATTGGAAGTTGCTTTCACATCTACTATTTTTCCCTTGGTTTTCTGTTTCAGTAAGGAATTATCTCTGAAACAATGATCTAACAGGTTGTGTTATTGTCTAGTATTGTTAAAAAGGCTGTAGAACCAATATCCCTAATGTGTAGTGCCAAGTACATATGGCAGAATGGAAAGATCTCAAGAGGTATAACATAATTGGATATGTTTTATTAACTAGAGAGCCTATATAGGGGGTTAATTAGTTCGAGTCTTGTCCAAATCATATGAAAGTATTTTTAGTAGTAGTTTCACCAAAACATTTCAATTAATTTTTTGACTATAGCATCCCATAGCTTCCTTTAATTGCCAATGGAATGGATAAAATGAGTGATGCATCATATTTTTTAAAAAGTAAAAAGACCTCTCATAATGGAAGATTTATAATGGATTTTGTATGTTTAAGTAATAGTATATGTGCTGTATTACCAGTCCACCTTAAAAAAAGCCATGCTCATCTCCTAACAACTTTTTGGACATACTGTATTTGTGTCGCTTTTCATTCTGCCTAAAATGATTCAGGATGGGTGGGTTATAAGGAGTTTTGAATAAATGAGCAATACAGAAGTGATTTCCCATTGTCTTCAAGATTTTCTCCCCCTCCCCAACTTTTCAGCCTCCCTTAAATGTTCGTATTTCTCAATAGTCTTCCATCCAAAAGAACAGTTTGGTTGGATCTTGCTTAGCATGTCAAAGTCAGCCAAAGTTATTTAGGTGCTACCAAGTAGATTGCTTATTCATAAATAATATCTAGTGAACTCCTTAATAAAAATATTTTAATTTATAAATCAAAAGTCCTATTGTCCATTAACCTGCCATAAGGTTATTTCTACCTGTGGCTTTGAAGTAATTTTCAACTTGAGAAATTCCAGTTAACTTGGTTGTCAAATATCTGTCAGGTTCGTTTTAATCATGGTGATAAATTTGTTACTAAACTCATAAATCATATTCTGTGGCATTTTTGTTCCATTTTCTATTAGCATGGTTGCTTCAGGAAAACATTGCAGCCATAAAGCCCTGTTAATTCATTACAACAGAACATTTCTGTTTTACAATCATCAGTGTGGCAAATCAATCCTAGCAAATGAGCTGTTCTTCCAGTGTCTGATGATAACCAAGATACAGACATTTCAAAGCCTTATCATTAATCTATTTGCTAATAGTTTTGTCCAAAAATCCGAACCCTTTAAAAATCCCTCCTGTTTCTCCTTTATGCCTAAGTATCTCTTTAGTGCAGCAAGGAAGAACCAGTGCCTTTAGAGCTATATGAAGTTTTTCTGGTCTTAGTTCTGCTATTAAATAGCTACTTTCTTGAGTTTTTCTTGACATTGTTTTAGATAATTTCAATTTGTTTTCTGAATTTAAAAGTCTCTCAAAGTAAAATCAAGGTTTTTCAGCTAGATGAATGTTCTACCAGGAAATCTCTGCTGGATACCATTTCTTCGTTGTCCAATTTATCATAACAAATGACACGATTAAATTCATCTCTACACCCTATGAATTGCAACAATTTTCACATTAGACTTGCGTATTATAGGATTTTTTTTCTTTCTCACTATTTCTTCATCTCTGCTTTGTCTTCATCACTATTATCTTCAGGTTTTTTTATTGTCATTATAATTTTTAGACAGGTCATATTATGTACTTAGAGATGCCTTTTCTCTCTTTTTGAAAAGCAGCATAATGCCATTGTAGTTAGTTTGATAAAAAATTAAGCATGAAAGTAAGTAAAAATGTTAGTTTAATGGCATTTAATATTCTTATATTTTTCCATTTATGTTTATTAGTAAATGCAGATGAACTAAAGGTCATACCATGTTTCACCAATAGTAAGACCTAGCCCGAAAATAAGCCCTAGTTTGATTTTTTTGGGGGGTGGGCCTAATATAAGCCCTACTCCCAAAATTAGGCTTAGTTTTGGGGCTAGGCGCACACCTAAAAATCAAGCTAGTGCAGGGATGGAGAGTGGAGTTGCCCCACACCCCCTGCATCCGCTTACCGTTGCAGCCAGGCCTCCCATGAATCGACACCTGCCTCGCCTCGCTAGCCCACTTCTGCGGGAGCCCCCAGCCTGCATTTCACCATCAGAGGCCTTCAGGAAAGGCCTCTGTAGCTGAGAAGGGAGCTCCGGATTCAATCCGTAGCTTGGTTCTCGGCTGCAGAGGCCTCTGACGGCAAAATGCAGGCCAGGGGGCGCTGCGTGTGTCAATCTGGAGCTCCATTCCAGCTGCAGAGGCATTTCGGTTGCAGAAGAAATGGGCTGGCTGGGCAGGGCTGCCGGTGCCGCCACCACCATGAGTTGAGATCGTGGAAAATACCACCTGAAAATAAGACCTGGTGCCTCTTTTGGAGGCAAAAATAAAATAAAAAATAAAACCTGGTCTTATTTTCAGGGAAACACGGTAGTAACATTGATATTTACATATATTCATATGAGTTATTCTCTGAACTCTGTTCAAACTAAAGAATGCTCCCATTTCAAAAAGGTTTCCAAACATTTTAACACTTTTCTTTAAAAATTGAAAAACATTAAAAAAGTAAAAACATTATAAGCTACAGCTAAATTTCAGAGGATTCAGCAAGTGTACTGAAAAATGAAGCTTTTGAAAGATTATTTCTTCTTATATAGTTGGTGATTGTTGTTTCCATCTGGGATATCCATGTTTTCTGAAAAAAAAAGCAAATGTTTTAAATTAATTTTTACAATTTATTTATTGAATTTGTATGCCACTTAACCCCCAATGACATTGGGTAGCTCACAAATAAAAACATCAGAAAGAGAAAAAAAGAGGATAAAAAAGTTGCAAGAATGATAAAAACCAGACAAAAACAAAAGAGAAATAACCCACACAATCCAAAGAAAGCTTCCTTACTCTTACTAAAGGCTGGAGTGAAGAGCCATGTTTTTAAGGCTCTTCAAAACGTAAACAGGGTGGGGGCTAGCTTGGTGGTTGGGGAACTCACTACATATTGCAAGTGCTGCTACAGAGAAGGAATGCTTTTAGAGTTCCAATAGATAGCATTATTTAATCACAGGCACTTGTGCGCTGACTCTGCCAGATTGAATAGCCTGAGCAAATACTATAAGAGATAGGTAGCCCCTCAAATAATTAGATGCTATACCAGTGGTTCTCAACCTGTGGGTCGGGACCCCATTTGGGGTCGATCGATCATTTCATGGGGGTCGCCAAGCAAGGCTGTCCGCCATTTTTTTTGTCCACCATTTTTTCCCCCTTTTCCGGTGGGTGCCTTACCTCCCTTGGGCTGGGCCAGCTGGTGGTCGGCCTGCTCCGTCTCTGCCGCTTGCCAGCTACGCCTCGGCCGGTGCAGGGGGCGGAACCACGCATGTGCGGCGCTCCCGGGCAGGGAAAGTCCTCGACTTACGACCGGTTGGGTAGTCCTCGACTTATGACCGGTTTAGTCCTCGACTTACGACCGGTTTAGTCCTCGACTTAATGACCGGTTTAGTCCTTGACTTACGACCGGTTGGGGTCGCGGCATTAAAAAGGTTGAGAACCACTGTGCTATACCATCACGGGCTTTATAGGAATAGCAACTCCTTGAGTTGCACAGGAACCAAATAGGCAACTAGTGCAGTTCATAAAGCAGAGGTGTTACATGGCACATAGGCAATGTCATCACTGCCCATGCCACTGTTCTCTGGCTCAGTTGAAGATTCTGAGTGATCTTTGAGGGTAATCTCATGTACAACATAACAATAGTCAAGTCGTGAGATATTCTGGGTCTGACTGACTGACAATCTTCCTGATCTAGGATAGGGCATAATTGGTGTACCAGATGATCCCATGCAAGGTCAAAGATGAATAATTCAAGATCTGAGTGGCCCAGGTACTCAAAGCAAGTTGGTCTTTATAGGAGTGAATTCCTCCCTATCCAAATTGGCACAGACTCCAGTGGGACCGTAACAGCTTAGCCAGCCCATGGTCAAGAGACATAATTATGTATTTTCCATGTATTGATGGTTCTTAACTTAGCAGTTTTATATGGATGTTGAAAAAAAGGGGACAGAGAATAAAACTATGGCACCCTACAAAAGAGAGGCAAGAATTATTTCTTCCCCCAAGCAATACTGATTGGAGCTGGTTCTGGAAAAAGAAGAATCATCATAAAATGATGCCACCCAGAGAGGCATCTCAGAAGAATACCATGGTCAACAATATAAACAGCCATTGAGAGTTCAAGAAGCACATGGATGGATGCAGTACCTCCACCCTTTTTCTGATGTTATCTACAAGGACAACACAAGTTGTCTCAATACTAAATCATGGCTCAAACCTGACTACAATGGGTCTAGATAATCCATTTCCTCAAGAGTTCCCATCTACTATGGACCGATTATTTTCTCAATAACCTTTCTCAGAAAGAAGAAAGGGGACTGATAGTTATTGAAAACTGTTGGAGAAGCAACAGCATTATTTCAAGGCAGGAAGTACTACCTCATCCATCAAAGAGGCCAATAAGGATGGATACATTTTATGCTTTCAAGAAACATTTCCAAAGTAAAATACCTACCTTGGATACCTCTGTTTGTGCTTGAAGTAAATAGGCTCCTATGCACTGTTGATATCTATTTTCATGTTGTATTAGAAAAGCATTTCGTAGTCCCAGTGCTAAGGAAATATAGAAACATGATATAGCTTCATTCCAGATCTCTATAAACAATGAATAACTGCCTTTCAGTTTTCCCAAAGGTGCTTTTTTCAAGAGGCAACTGGACTTTCTTGTTTTTCTTTGAAGATGTTTCGCTTCTCATCCCAAAAGCTTCTTGAATGAGAAGCGAAACATCTTCAAAGAAAAACAAGAAAGTCCAGTTGCCTCTTGAAAAAAATAACTTTGGGACAATCATGACCTAGTGGACTGAGAATCTCCATAGACATTTTGCCTTTAAGTTTGTAAATGGAATATTTAATTGCTGCTGATGTACATGCAGATAATTCAGTGAACAACTTCAATAGAATGTTCAGCTGACGTTCTTTGATATAGAAGTAGGCAACAATGACTTTGGGGTAAATTTTATGGAGCCCTTCTGGAATTTGAGCTATTAAATCTGTTGAGATCTCTTAACTACTTTCTTTTCCTTAAAGTCTGTTATTGGGGAAAAGAGATGAGGATGCAATGCATACATACATAAAAATGGTTCTCATCAAGACAATAGGTGTTTCTACTCTCTAATGTTGGCTTCTCCCCTTTCTTCTTTTGCCTCTGTCTTATTCTTATCATGTAAGTTCCTAAACAAAGATAGGTCTGGTTTAGATGTAAATGCAGCCCAAAAACTGGTCATAAGTGGTAAAAAACAACAAGGTTTCCAAAAATATTCATGAAAATCAATGTTGAGTACTAAATACAAAGTTCTCTAAGGAAATTAAAGTGCAAACTCACATATACTTTGGACATCCCATTTTCTCCTAACTGGTTCTGGCTCATGTAAGGTCACATCTGCTACTGATACCCACCCTTGTTTTATCATCAAAGAAATGCCTTTCAATTACTGTAAAGAGGATAGTAAAATAAAGAGCTAGCATTTTCATCAATATTAAGAAAAGGGTTCTTCTAATTAATCTCGGAGCTGCCTGTGTTACTGCTTCCAAATATAATAGATTGTATTAATAGAATAGATTGTATTAAGTCTAAATCTGAATGTGAACGCTAGCTTTTCCATTTCCATTTCCACTTTAATTATCTGAATACTTACTGTATTGCTATTCTAATGAAAGGGCATAATAGTGCCTCATTTTTCTTCTGCTGGTCATATATTTCACCACAAATGTCTCTGTCTCTACACACCATGCAGAAATAGATTACAGTTTTAAGAGCTGAAGCTGGTTTTATATATATATGATTTCTCGTAATGTAAGTATCACTGTAATCCCCATAATAGTATTTAATTAATCAAATATTGAGGAGATACGATAATCATATCATAGTCAGATGCACTATATATAGGGGTATCAGCTGTGAATAATAGCTTCATACTAAGATATGTTGGGGACATAGAAAATGGAGAATACACATATGCTGGATTTATTTGAAAATGGGTAACATAAGATTTATTTTGCAAAAAGTTCATTTTCACATGAAAAGAGTACAATAAGAATAGATTGTTTAGATTTAACAATGAATACCAATGTCAGTGCTAAATTGTGGGTTTGTCCCATCAGTTTGGCTTCTTCCCCAGCACACTTTAAAAAGCAAATCCATAATACAGTACATGCCATCTATAGTTCAGTATTGTATGAATTCTATTCATTACTTACAAGATGTTGAATATATACAATGACTGTTTAGAGGCTTTCCAATGAAAGTAGGCATTTTTGGAAAAACTTCACACCCCTGTTCATTATTTAAGTTTTCTAAATATTTTAAAGAGGGCTGACTTAAATGACCAGGCCTTCAAGAAATGATTTTAAAATCTCTGGCAAAGCAATTGTAAAGCATTTAGCATACCTGCTATATGGAATGAATCAATATTTTTTACCATCATTCTATCTAATGGAATAGGCTGGCCAAGTACCATGCAGTTACCACCTTCTTCAAGCAAAGATTGTAACTCCAGACTGAAGAAAGAACAAGCAGGTGTTAAACTCAGGTCAAATTTCTGAAATGAAATGAAAAACATATTTGCAATCCATGGTTGCAGGGAAAGCAGGAAAGATTCAAATTAAGGTAAGTAGCTAAATTGCAGGACATAAGAAAAAGGATCCTCTGGGATAAATAAATAGGAATAAACCGGAGTGTCAAAAATGGCAAGTTGGCAGATACAGTATTGTGACACAAGACCTGGCATCTATGGTGCACATACTTCAAAAGGGCTAGGGCCTTTATAGTGATTTCCTTGCCAATTTTGATATCCCTGCCCACAGTTGCCACTGAAATAGAGACTGTAGGAAAAGCTAGCAGCTTGTCTTACATTCTCTACTTTATGTTATAGTTTAATTAACCTATAAAGATCAATTAATGGGAGGCAGATGGAATGGTGGAAAAGGAAACCAACTAATTAGGAAGGAGACAGGAAACTAGCTCGGAATCATATACTGACACAAGTTTGGGCATGTTCAAAGGGAAGAGGGAGGGAGGAAAAAAGACAAAATTGTTTGAAAACAGCAATGTGAAGCTGATGTTTAAATCAAGCTACTAATATGAATAAGTAGGGCCATTTCCTGCTTCTATCAAAAGCTCTACAACGAATGGCTGGCTTTGCACAACATGCTAAACCATAATGTGGTTTCTTTATTTTTGGCTTAATGAGATATGTGAATCAACATGCTCAAGAAATCATAGCATTATGTTTGAACCAGGCCAATATACCTTGTTCAACAAACCACGATTACAGCTAGCCCCATCTTAATGGTTGTGACGCTAGTCACTCTTTGCACAGCTTTTGACATAAGCCAGAAATATTCTATGGTTATCAATATTAACTGTATTTACTACCTATTGTGAAGAGACCCAAGGGGAATTCCCATCCAATATCCTTCAGTCAACCTGTAATAACTATTATCCACAATGAAATGGAAGATACTGAAAATATGGAACCTAATCCTAAAAACAAATATGGTTGACATAGCAAATATTACAGGTCCTCCAAAGATTTGGCTCGTATCATGGCAACCCTTAAAGCCCTTCTGTTCTGGGAGACTAACTCACCCCAAAGCATAAACCAATGGCTTTAGTGTATGTTTTACAAGAGTGTTTTTTGTTTCTTTAAAGTTGATTTTCAAGGATAAGCTTTCTCCCTCCCTGTATGTTTAGTAAGTCCAGCTAATCTTAGTCTTTGCATTTCAGTAGGCCTATTTCCCCCCAATTTCTAGGGATTTCTTTATACAAGACATGTTTAGACTGTTGCAAATTCCTTATTTCCATCTGCCATCTCTTTGATCTATGATATTTTCCCATCTTCTTAAGATTGGTTGCTGCTGATTCGAAAGTTGTTGATCAGGATGGCACTGAAGATGAACAAAAGAAGTTGGGGGCCATTTCAAAAAGTGATTCTTCCATGTAAGCAAATAGTGGGCTTGTTTAGTAAGGTATATCTTTGTAAATGTTAGCAACATGTGCTCTCTATCAGAAACTGTTTCAGGAAGCAAAACAAAGGGAAACAATTCCAAGTTTGGGCATGTTCAAAGAGAAGAGGGAGGAAGGAAAAGAAAAGACAAAATTGTTTGAAAACAGCAGTGTGAGGTTGATGTTTAAGTGGTGAATGAAACAGTTCTGAAAATAAGTCAGGTAGCTTTCTACAAAAGGACATAGTAAAGTTTAATTCCATAGCCCTCTTCTTAATTCTTTGATAATTAAATAGTTGCTATGCCAGTTATCCACAACTCTTCCTGTTCCCAACAAGTCAAAATGTATATAAATACAACAGCAGCTGATTGTTACTTTTCTCTTTCTTTCCTTTTATTTTGTTACCTTTTTATATCGGTTAGGTTTTGTAATCAATAGCAAATCATCAAACAAGAACAGATAGACGTCGGTAAATCTCATGGATTCTGCAGAGCAAATAAAAGGTGAACCGTGATACAGGTATATTAAAAACAAAACTATTTTCTGAGCTCCTCACTATCTCTTGATTTTGGCAGATCTAACAGAACAATTTGGAAGAAGTTGAAAAGAATGTTACCTTTTATAACCAATAGATCTTTGATTTTATATATCATTTTATGCATGAGGAAATTGGAAGAAAACAACTCCTTCCTATTAACACTGTACAACTTTAAAAGTATAAAGAGATTAAATTTATATTTGAGTTATTAAACATTCGTATCAGCCATAGTGGTACTGTATGGACTACAATGTAAAGATAGCTCCTCGTGTAAAAATACTTGCAGTTGTATTTACAAGGCTGAATTAAGTAAATGGTTGCAAAGCGCTGGTAGCAGCAGAAGTAGCTTTAGGGCACACTATGGTCTGGAGTTCCGCAGTAACTGGAACTCATCATCAGGAAAAAAAACCCAGTCCCATTATGAGAGAACTGGCTAAAAAAAAGGAGTTGCACCCATAACAGACTGAACAAAAGAATTCCCCAAGAATTAATACTTTAGTAGACTGCTGAACCAATCCCGGAATACCGGTATTCAAGCAAGGAAAAGTCTAAGTAATAGACTTTGATTTTGTAAACCATGGAGAAGGATGCTGTCTAGATTTTATGAAATTCCTGAATACTTAACATTTATGGAAGCCCTAATTTTCTATGATTAATGCTCTGATTTCAAACTATGGCCATGTACTTTTACTTATTAAATAGTAAATATCCAGAATTGGACACAAAAATGAGCTAGAAATTCTGCCTGGATAACATGTATTCTGCGCCTTGTTAAGACTTTGTTTTTGTTCTTTCATGAGATTTGGAAGCTGTTTCATTCTGTGTACTGTCTAATATGCCTGCCAAATATGAAATATTGTATTTACCTGCAAGTATCAATCGCCCTTCAACAACAAGTGATCTCTTTGTAGGTGACAAGATGTTTTCATGTGGATTATCTCTTAGCATGTACTTGAGAGACTTAAGATGGGGAAAAAGGAAGGTAGAAAAGGCCACAATAGATAAGAAGTGATTTTTTATTGAAAGTGTAAAGAAAATAAATAACAAGTAGATGTCAATAGAAAACAAACTGATACACCATGATACTATTAAAGGGTACAAGAATCAAATCTCATATACAAACTTCACAATACAAGGTTATTAAGCTCTAATCTTTAGCCCTGCTTTGTTAACAAGATCAGGGCTTCTAACTTCAGCAATACACATCCATGTTTGTTTTTTTAAGAAGAATCTGCATGGATCTGGTCATTCTTTCTTCTCTTGGAAGCTGGCCAAAGAAATGAAAATGCTGAGCATAACTATAATATACCATATTCAAACATTAAAAATGCTATAAAAAAGCAACTGGAGGATGGGGGAGGGACTGAAGGGGTGAAAATACAAAATTTTTGTTTTAGAGTCTCCAAGGCCATACTTGCCTGGAGACCCTTCAACCTTTATAGTTTATACTGTGATACATCATTTGAAACAAATAATGAATAGATAGTAATCTTTTATATTCAACATTTTGATTGAATATTGTGATCTACCTGAAGGTAGAATGTTCCACACTATGTGATAATGATTATCTTTTACTCAATTTGTATGACAATACTTAGGTGAGAAAGATTAAAGACTATACTATAACATTTTCTATGCTAATCAAGAAATTGCATACCTCAGGAACAAAATATCTTTTGTCTTGATCCCAAAGTGAAGGCCAAATTATAATTTCCTGAAGCTGTTTAAATTTCTGAAAATTATCCAGCCATTTCACTTTACCTTCCAAATCTCCTAAAATTATGCACAGAAAGTCAAGAATCAATGACTGATAATAACATCTCTATAAACATTTATGGTAGCAAATTATGATGAACATTAGCAATCTTCACACAAAGAAGTGAAGTTTACATTGGTAAACTCAATTTGATTATCTGTGGTTATCATAATATTTTAGAAAAACAGTTTTGTATATATAGCAAAAATGAATTGTCAGATTTTTAGTTTCTTGTGCTTATTCTGGTTTGAATAAGTTGATTTTTTTTCAGTAAGTCTGTATAATACTACTATTGATAATAGTATAAATAATATGTACATTAATTTTCAGAACAAAAAGATTCCCCAAGCAGCTTATAGTAAATGACAGAAGTATTTCAAAACCAATATCTAATAAGAAAAGCAAATATAAAAAATATAAGAACTGTAGCACAAAATAAAAAAAATATCCATATACAACGATAAAATAGTTAAAATAACTGCTAGAGAATTGGAAACAAAATAGAATAGAAACAAAACTGATTAAAAAACTACATGGCAAAACCCAAAGAGTGTTAGGTCCACCAATGTGTCATGCCATTCTGTTGGAGGGGGAGGGAGGTTGGCATTTATGGGATGCTTTTGCTTTTGCTTTTGCTGCATGCTTTGGAAATAGGGAGGGGGATTGTTCTCGGAGATGGGGCAGACTCCCAGCTGATTCCAGTCTGGTTCCAAGGCCATTGCACCATGAGAGTGACCTATTATCTGCCTAGCCCCTCAGCATTTTCAAAACATCTTCTTGGCATCACATTGGCTGCTGGTGGACTGGTCAGGGGGGTTGGGATTGGGGAAAACAAAAGAATTGCTTTGTGCTTTGGGCGGAACCTTTAGATTCCGCCTGACTTTACTGCAACTACCTTCTCTCACTAAAAGTTCTTTGGATTCAACTCAATGGATTCAAGAGTCTTGCTTTCCTCAGGGACTAGCTAGGGCAGGTCCTTACACAGAGAATGAAAAGGGACAGAGAATGAAAAGGGACAGAAGGAACAAGAAAGCTTTCTAAACAAAAAGAGTAAAACAAGGGTGAAGGCCAGGGGATATTTCAGTGTTATGGGATGAATACGGAGAAGGCCTGGCCACATCTCAGTCTGCAAATTCTCTAGGTCTTCAAAAATAATCTAAGATTTGTGTAGAGAAAAAAAACCTACAAAGATACTGTAGTCCAAAACTGAAATATATTATAGCCTTTGAAATGTGACAATGGAGTAATTTAGTAACTTCAACCTTGCATTGCTATTTTTTTCTTAGTTAGAATCATAGAACAATTTTTTGCACATTTCTTTGAGAAACTCAGAATAGAACAAATCCCAAAGCAGCGTTGATATTTTGAATTTCTTTACTCACGTATTGATGTTTCCACCTTTTCCTTAAGTGAATTAATGATAACTTTCTCTGCTGTCTCTATATTTTTCCAAATGTTCTTTAACAGGAGGGGATAGCGGGTCAACTTGTGTAAAGGTGCAACTAACATTTCAGCTAGTCGGAGTCGCTTACATTCTTTATTCCGCTCGCACCACTGTTAAAATTGATGGAAAAGACATGTTAGAAAACATATTTTCAATGGGAATTTTTAACAGAATAAATATTGGCCATACCATAAACCATTTATTTCTTAAATTGAAATGACATTATTTATTGGATAACTTACATATTTGCAAATTATTCTATTTTTAAGCGAATCTTTTAAATAGTATTTTATACTATTACTTTTAAATATTACCCTTAAAAAGAAAAACTAACACAAACTAAAGCAATAAAAGAATAAAAACAAATAATATGAAATGCACAAAAGGAAAATAGAAATAATAAGAATAGAAAAAATAAGTATATAGTAAAGAATATATATAAAAAAATGACTTCCCTGTTGACTGAACAAAAATAAATTATTTTAGTAATTTATTATCTTATTTTAAAATACAACAAATGATCTTTTCTTCCCATATATTATCTCTTATCTATAAACAAATATTTAAAGCATCATCATTCTGTCCTATGCAGCAAAAGTCTAGTAAGGGATACTAAAGATAACATATCTATTTTTAACCTTGATCAAATACACGGATTTTATATTCTATTTATATTTTAACAATAGTAAACTTTAATCCCTTCAACTAAAGTTCTTGAACTTGATTTCTTTTCATTTTTCTTTTATCCCTTTTCACAAAATTCTTCAAAGCTTTAATAGGTCTCTTTTGTAAATCCAATATAGAAAGGTTATCCAGCTCACTTTTTTGGTTTGTTATTTGTACATCACTTTTAATTATTAAGGCACCAATTATTTTTATTGTGCTTAGTGTAGCACATTTTTCCATATCTTTTTTGTAGTCTGTCATTTTTAAATCTATTTTTGATCAGTCTCAGTCTTGTCCAGTAAAACTTCTTCCTCTTGCATAATATCTTTTAAACACAGATTATCTATAATGGCAGACATTCTTAAACTTTTCAAAAATAACATCCAATTTTCAAGCATTTGCTCTATTCTATTTTAGTAAGTCAAATTAAGTGCTCTTTTCATTTGATTGTAAATTTTAGTTCCTTTTGGTTACCTTTAAAATCCAGCCTTCAAAGTCCCATTCTATCATTTAAAAAAAAATACAAACAGCTTTTTCCCACAGAAAGGATTCTTATAATTATTTCACAATCTTACTTCAAATATATCTGGACCTGTAGTCCATTTGTAACTTTCCAAAATCAATATTCTAAATACCATTTTAAAGTCCTTAAACTTGTATTTAAAACTTCTTTTGCCTATGATTGAAGGAGACTCACCCAGTCCTGTAAAACTTGTCAATGTAAAGGTTCCTAGTAGTAGAAAAGCAATTAACAAGCAATTTTCAAAAAACGATTAGAAAAGTAATTATGTGAACCCTGCATCCATAAAGGTGCAGACTGTGATTTGAACAAGATGGATTCCCTTGTCTTCCAGAGCAGAGGTCCCCAACCTTTTGGGCACGGACCGGAGAGTGCGTAGTTTTGTGTGCTGCCTGCATCCCACGGATGGGGCTTTGCTTGTTTGTGTGGACTGGTTGCTGGCATGCCATGGCCCGGTACCAATCCATAGACCAGGGGTTGGGGACCCCTGTTCCAGAGCTCTAAAACTATCAGAGACCCTGAATTTGCAGTCTCCTTGTGAGGAGCAACTGTCTGGAGTCCTCCCCTTGTCTGCCGAGCCAGGTTACTGGCTGGCTCTTCATTCCACTCTGGTCACTGGATATGTTTTTAACAGAAGCATCTTCAGTTTGGAAGTCCTCAAAATGAATCTTTTAAAGGCACATTATAATGCAGAAAACACCAAAAATAGAACTACACAAAATAAACTAAAACACTTTTAGTTACATTACAGAAATAGAAAAAATGTTCAACATTTAAAAATGTGGCTTAAAACATAGTTGTGCTAAAGCTTTTTTGTGTTAAGTCTGACTTTGGTAACTTTTGTTTTCATGAACACACATATTTGTTGCTTTGGCAGCAATTTCCTTGCCTTCTGTAATTTTTTCTTTTTCTTTCCAGTCTAGCTTGCCTCCTACTATTTTCTGGTCATCTCTCATTCAAATATCAACCAGATATGACCCTGTTTAGCTTCTGAGGTCAGCCAAAGTCAGCTAGCTGTGCCTTCTGGCAGAACTTAACATATTGATCAACAACAAAATTCTGCCACTGTAGGAAGGCAACATCTCCCCCCCGAAAAAGAAATATTTTGGGGGATATTAAAAAAAAGCAGAATATAACAACCCCTCACCCAAAAATTCAACACAGGACATAGCCATAGCCACAGCCCCAAGGAAGCAGGACATGACCTTTAGGACATAATAGGATTAACCCACCACCGTTA